AAGATTTGTGAACAAGAAGAACAGCAGACAAGAGAATACAGTTATCAGACCTCTGATTCTTTATCAGCTTGTTTGACAATTTACTGAAGCCAGTTTGTTTATGACAAAATCGGGAGTGTTAGTATAAAAGGGAAGCATTTGGGGATGAGAATAGTGGAAAAGGAAAGAAAAAGAGAGTAGGTGTATAGCAAGAGCAAGGATCCTACAAACGTTCACCTGACTGATCTCTGAGATGTAATTCTCTTTTTTTCTACCCAGAAAGACCCGAGTTAAACTCAGCTCTACCTATCAGGAGGTAGTTCATCCACAAAATTCAGCCTATCATTTTTTTTCATAAAAAGAGATCTGAAACAAAATCTGAATTTCCTTGTGCTGATTGGTACACTCATTAAAACAAAAAACAAAGAAAAAACAAAACAAAAAAACCCACCCCAAAACCCAAACAAACAAAAAACAAACAAACAAAAAAAACACAAAAAAAACCCTAACAACAAAAAAGTCCCAGAAAACTTTGTGTGATATTGTTGCAAGCCATGCTATCAGAATTAGAATGCTTAGAAATATCAATATGGCCAGTAAATCAACAGTGTATATGGTATGATATAGGAAGCATGGACTCATTCTGCTGTTCCCTGAGTAAAAGGAGATCTCCCTTGAACGCTGGAAGATGATAAGCAGAAATGCCAGAACGCTAATCCTTCAGAGCAAATCTTCTCATTGCTACTCATTGGACTTACATGTTGCTGTGAATGGGACATGGAGATGGTAAGGACACACTCTCTTTATTAGATTTAATAAATATTGGATTAGATTAAATAAATTCCAGGGAATACATTCTATATCCCCCATGGAACTTGCCTGTTAATATGGAGTTTAACATGCCATGTTACCTTCTTAAGATGTTCTCTGAGAATCTGTTTGAATGTTCCTCATAGAGACTCTGTGAACTGGGGGGGGGGGGGGAATGGAATTTTGAACTGATTTCTTGAGATAACCCAATAATTACAATTACTAATGTGGGTAGCAGAGTAATTCTGTGGGAAGAAAGGCAGTAGGGACCAATAATGTCTGGGCCTAAATGTAAATCTCCAGAATATTATTTGTGAAGACTGGCTTGTTCTACGGTTCACACAAGGCAGTGGCAGAGATGTCCATCCTCTTTCTTAATCTTGCTCTTGCTATCAAGGACTAATATGTGCCATGCGTTGTGTGTTTGTAATTCAGCCTTAATACATGAAAATAGAAGTAAACATTCCATGTCTCCACGTAGGGAATTTGGAAAATGTGCATGACACATGAAGTCTTTTTCCATCACTAACTCCCTGTTCCACACACAGATTAAAGCAACTTAATCCCTGGAAAGTTCCTGAAACAGCCAACTGAGAGTAGAAAGGTGAGTAAATGTAAAACCTTTGGTTGAAAATTGTCAGTACTGAATGTGCAGCCAAAGTATATAATGCACACCCCTCCTATTTCATAGCAAATATTAAGTAACTCTTAGGTGACACTCAGAATGCCACTTCCTTCACACATGTGTATTGAAGCAGCTGAGTGATTCCAGTTACAGAGCAGGTTAGTGAAGTAAAAAGGGCTTAGAAGCCCCGGAGTAAAGTGCAGAAAGCAGAGGGACAACAGGTGGCAAAAAGAGTCAGAGAAGGACAGAGAGGGATGGAAGGGAAGTTGGAGTTGCTAGCATGATGTTACTATTAGGATGCCAGTGACTCAGAAAAAAAGGTTAGGTGGCATGTTCTGTCTGTCACAGAACTGGAGAGGTGTCATGATGCCCGCAGATTATCATAACACTGATGCGTGACTCTCAGACACTATAAATGGAAAGTACAACTAAACTACGTGTTGCCTGAACTTTGTGTGAATATTTCCCAATCATCTTCAGCTGTAAAGACAGATTCACTTAAATCACTGCTTTACCAAGCATGCAGACATAACCTTTGCCTTCTGCATCCATATTCTGAACTCCCTGATGCTCCCTCAAGGATTTCTCTGGCTAGCCTGAGTCCTCCTGGGGCAGGGTGACCTCTAGGGGCCTCTGGGCAGAGCCAGCATGGAATGAGCATGTCAGTACTCTGCCCCGCACTGCCTTGCACGTTTGCAAACCTTGGACTTTGCTTATTAGCGCCCCAGTCTGAGACCTTTATGTATCTTGAATCATGTATTCCCATCAGTATTGTCATTGTCTTCCAAAGGGCTGCCCAGGTAAGTAGAATAAGACAACAAACTTCTTTTCTCTCTTTCATGAGAAGGATGGGATCTTTTTCAGCTAGAAGTTTCATCTGGGCTTTGAATAGTCATGAAGAGCTGAAATTATAAATCTGATGTGTCAAAATTCACTGAATAAAAGTTTCTTTTTGCAGGTCAGGAATGTTGGAACTAGATGACCTTAAGGTCCTTTCCAACCCTAATCATTCTGTGATTTTCAGTTAATGCTATTCTGTCAATGAAACAGCATTTATTTACTTTGGAGGCACATAATTGCCGTCTAGATTATTATAACTCTAAGAGTCTTTGCAATCCATGCAGCTCTACTGGAGTACACCAGCTGCATCTATCCTATATTCATATTTATGGTAAATATGAACCACTTTTTTTCAAGGTCAGTAACCTTTGCATTACTTACCAACTAGTAGGCAGTCTGACTGCATGGGGTGTTTATACAAGCTGATTCTAATCTTCAAGATATGTCATCAAATTATAAATACATGAGGAATTAAATGTGATCTCATTTATGCGAATGAATGAGAGATATTTCCTCAAGGCAAATAAGGAACATTTCCAGATTCAAAGAAACTAAACAAAGAATTAGGACATAATAGTTACTATTTGAAGTTTTCTGGACAGATGCAGACGAATGACATATGCAGGTTGAGGTGTTGCTATTAAACCCAGTCACCACCATAAATGTTCAGCACATTAATCATAAATGTAGTTTAATATTTCACTTAAAAAAAACCTTGAACTCCTATTATAATTATAGAGTACTCATCTCCTATTCAGAGAAATTATCAGATCAAACATGTAAAGTCTTTGCAAAATTTCATTGCAAAATACCCATGGAGTTAGAAACACTTGTTCATGCTTTTACTGAGCCACAGTTGCAACACACTGACCTCCAAGTTAAGCTTTTTGGATCATTTGTCTGTTCCTTTAAAGAAATATGTGTAGTAAAACAAAATCTTTCTGCTTCCTTTCATGTTTTGACAACAAAGGTTTTGTCTGGAATGAATGAAGTGTGGGAAGGAAGAGAGCTTGTTTCCCTTCTTTGATGCCCAAATACTGCTGGCATTGATGCAGCTTTCACAGCTTCACCCATAAAGATGGTCTCTCTCAAGAGCATCACTTAAGGTGACGCAGGAGTCAGCACAGGGTGTCATCTTTTCCTTTAATATATTTAGCTGTTGCCCAGCAAACTACTTCCATATTTAGAACATGGGAGGATTCCTTGGGTCTGAACCTCAGCATGTTTGTGAGAAGGAGGACCTCCTAATCCTGCAAACACGCTGACAGCTGTGGTCAGTGCAAAAGGTTTTCTTCCTGCTGCCTCCTCTACAGCTCCCCTCCTGCAACTCCAACCCCAGCTCCTTTCCCCAGCAACTTCACAGCTTCTTGAAGTACTCCCTGGAAATGCAGCAGTGTAGAGCTAGCCAGGAACTTGGAGAGACCCATAAGTGTCCCTGTAGTGTGAGAGATGACTTTCATTTACCATTCCTGACATCTGGCTGTAGAATCTGCCCTGAGCAGCTATGTGATGCAGAATGCTCCAGTGCTGCCAGAATGGCTGTTCCGTATTTTAAGTACTACTTGCCTTGCAGGAAGCAGGCTGTCATTTAAGAATTCACATCAGCACACATTATGTTGATGACTTCTTTCTGTTTTATCCAGCCAGGATGCACTTAGTATCTGCATTACAACTCATCCATTGATGGAAGAGTCAGACAGGTAGGATGTTTGGGTTGTTTTATCTCAGTGAAGTTCTAGGTGCTGTGGTTTCTTTAAAGCTGTAATGTTTCCAGGATTATTCACACTTCAAGTCGTACCTTCATGATCAAAAGTAGTTCTTTTACCTTTTTGTATTTACATAACTACGCATTATTCTTTGACGCAAAAGCTCATTATAGAATTATATTGATATTTCAGTGATAGAAAACACTATACCATACTGCAGCAGTCTGCTGCAGCTAGCAGCTAGTTTTGCTAGCTCCACACATCTTGTTGGCTGGGGTTTATCCCATAGTGAGTCCTCTTGTTCACACTTACTTCTACCAATCTGCTCATCAGTCTCCATTTAATTTACAACAGATGCATTATGTCTTGATTTTGGCTATTCTGTCTAACAGAATTTTGGCTATTCTCTTTCCAAGAGAAAGTAACGAACCGCAATGTCTTCTTAACCAAATACATTGCTTGTTTTGCTTTAGAACTAACTATTAATAACATCTTCTATAAAAAAAGATTTACCTGATCTTTAGTTTTGCCCAATAAAAAGCCACTTTCTACAGTTCATGGCCTTCACCTGCCTTGTTCAAAGGAGGCAGCACCTCAGTTCTTCCATAAGTTACTCCATGAGGTCTCAGAGACATTCAGATGGGTTTGGGACTCCATTTTTTCCTTTTTAATGGGAGGACTTGCCTCTAAATCCAGCTTGCTGAAATGTGAATGGGACCAGCAAAGAGACCCTTTGTGTACTGCACCCATTCAGAAAAAGAACTCCTGAAGGTAGAAATACATTTCTGTGCTAGGACAGACAAGATACTTCTCCTGCCTTTGTCAAGAACGGAACCTTTTCCAAGTATGGGAATTAAATCAGTGTTATTTCCTACCTAGTAATGTAATAAGATAGTGGAGAAATACTAGAGATGGAAAAATTAAGAATCTACTGCTATCTAAGGGTTACATGAAATGAAATGTTTTGTTGGTAAATGCCTCAGACTTATGCAATTGCCGAATGGAATTGAAACAGGCAAAAGCACTGCTTCTGCTGTATATGCAGAAAAATCTATGGTCTTTATTCACTAGACATTGACATTGCTACAAAGACTAATTACAGGAGAAAGCGACCGAGAGGTTCACATTTTGTGCAGCCTCCAGGTCACTTTGCTGCCTCATGACAGCCTCACTCTTCCTCTTCTATCTTCTTGCCATGAAACTCCCGGCTCTTCACTCGGAGCTTGTTGACCTGGGACTCTGCAATGTCAGCCCGCTCCTCGGCTTCCTCCAGCTCGTGCTGGATCTTGCGGAACTTGGAGAGGTTGACATTGGACAGCTCCTCCTGTGCGGGGAGAGGGAGCTGGTGGTGAGCAGCCCAGAGCAGGGGTTCCCTGCACCTCAGCCTTGAAAGGCTACAGCTGTTCCCTGGGGAAGGCACAAACTTCCATCCTCCACCCACTACACAAAAGCACCACACAGACCTCCTCATCCTCCCTTATTCAGGATCTCACTGTGACAAGCTTCACCAGCACCATGTCACAGCTGAGGAGAAATCTCATTACTTGAATTTGAGATTTATGTACTAATCCTCCCACTACTTCATGCACAAAGTGTGACATTTCAGCTTGAAGAAGAACCTAACACCTTCTGCTGTTGATTACTAGCAGAGTCATGAACTCTCAGTCAGTTGTGCCCCCTGGAATTGTTTAGTCTGATCTACTGTGTAACACAGGCTGCAGAACTTCCCTCAGTTCATCCCTCACTACTCCAGGGTGCCCAGAAATCAGAAAGACCTCCTGACAGGAAACCAAATGGCATGGCCAAGACTGGCGTGTCTTGGCAGCTTCTTTCATACCCCTATCCAGGTAGTCACAATCATGGCAATGAGCCTGCTGCCCCAGTGGAAGGTGCCTGTTCTTCAGGCAATACTTACAGCCTCCTCTGCTTGTCTCTTGTAGGATTTCACTTTCATTTGCAGCTTGTCCACCAGATCCTGCAGCCTCAGAATATTCTTCCGGTCTTCCTCAGTCTAGAGTGGTTGGTAAGCAGGAAAGAGAATGAATTATTGGTTCTTCATCATGTGAGCTAAAGAATTCCCCTAGGGGATGGTGTGTACAAAATGGGACTTGCTGTGAGAGCAAGGACACCACTTGCCTTACCTGGTAGGTCAGCTCCTTCACCCTCCTCTCATACTTGCGCACACCCTTCACAGCTTCAGCGCTGCGCTTCTGCTCAGCATCAACCTCCCCTTCCAGCTCCCGCACCTGCAATCACAAGCCCATCTTTGGAGCTTCCCTGCTATCTCTCCAAGGCACATGCTCACTCCTGCACAAACACCAGCCCTACGCACTCTGGCCTCCAGCTTCTGGATTTGCTTCTTGCCTCCCTTCAGTGCCAACTGCTCAGCCTCATCCAGACGGAGCTGCAGGTCCTTCACCGTCTGGTCCAGGTTCTTCTTCATCCTCTCCAGGTGGGCGCTGGTGTCCTGCTCCTTCTTCAGCTCTTCTGCCATCATGGCCGCCTGAAGAGAGCAAAGGGTCAAAGCCATTTTGGGGCTGGAGACATTTTTGGGGAGAATACATCCACCATCAGCAATGAAAGGAGCCCCCAACTCACATCTGTGATGGCCTTCTTGGCCTTCTCTTCAGCATTGCGGGCTTCCTGGATGGTATCTTCCATCTCACCCTGAATTTGCACAATGTCTGTTTCTAGCTTCTTCTTGGTGTTGATCAAGCTGGTGTTCTGTAGCACAGAAAAGACACAAGTTGTACTTTTAGAACTAATGCCTCCATATCACTTGCTTAACGTGCAATTATTGTTTAGGAAAGTCTTTAATGCATGAGTCATCTTTGGAGCCATAGCACCAAACAGCACCAGCAGGTGGCTGGCTGCAAACGCTTTAACGCAGCATGTTGCTTTAAGAGATTGCATAGTAATCACTTTCAATGTCTAGCGACCACATTCTGAGCTGACCCTTGCTGATGGGATTAATTTCCAGCAGAGTGCCTGACCTGGGTATGGAGGAGCTGCACACGTTCAGTGGCATCCAGAAGCTCCTGCTCAGCCAATTTCCTGGACCGCTCCGTCTGCTCCAGGGCTGCCCGTAGCTCCTCAACTTCAGCCTGCAACAAGTTTGCTCTGCGCTCCACCATGGCCACCTGCTCCTTCAGGTCCTCCTGTGTCCTCAGAGCATCATCCAAGTGTATTTGAGTATCCTGTAAAAGAGGCAACAGAAATTACGAGGTGGAAGTGTGAGCTTGGGTGTCAAGAATGTCAGGGATGTCGTATCTCTTTTGTAGCATTGCTGAACGGACCTTGAGCACTCCCTGAGTGTTTCTCAGGTTCTTCTGTGCCTCAGCAGCCACTCGGTTGGCATGGCTGAGCTGGATCTCCATTTCATTCAGGTCTCCCTCCATCTTCTTCTTCAGACGCAGGGCTTCGTTCCTGCTCCTGATCTCAGCATCCAGGGTGCTCTGCATGGACTCCACAATTCTGAGGTGGTTTCTCTTCAGCTGGTCAATTTCCTCATCTTTCTCTGCTACCTTCCTGTCAATCTCAGACTTGACCTGGTTGAGCTCAAGCTGGAGACGCAGGATCTTCCCCTCTTCATGTTCTAGGGAGGCCTGGACAAGTCAGCAGGAACAGTGACTTAACTGCTGCTTCTTTTCTAAGTAATCTTTTTCGCAGCACTTCACAAATGAAAGCTTGCGTTCCTGCCATCTCTGCAGATAACTGTTACCATACGCTCAAACTGGACACAATTATTAGCTCTGTGTGTACCTCAGCTTCCTCCAGTGAGGCTTGGAGCTCAGATTTCTCCTGCTCAATCTGCTTCTTGACTTTCTCCAGCTCATGAATCGCTTTCCCTCCCTCAGCAATCTGCTCCGTGAGGTCAGAAATCTCCTCTGTGGGAACAAGGACCAATGGCATGGTCGGGCACAGAGCAGAATGGGAAGGGCCCTCACACACCAACGTGACAGGCACCTTTGCCCACGTGCAGGCACAGACCCATGTGAAGCGGTGGGTACTGGTGGGTGCTGAGAAAGCCCTGCCAGGAGCAGAGGGCCACGCACTTACGCTGCAAGTTCTTGTTCTCGCGCTTCAGCGTTTCCAGGTGGTCCAAGGACTCCTCATAGGCATTCTTCATCTTAAACAGCTCTGTGCTAAGAGAGCGGGCCTCCTTCTGGGAGGCTTCCAGCTCAGCCTGTGTTTCCTCATACTTCTGCTTCCATTCTGCCAGGATCTGTAGAGAAAGGGGGTGTCAGTGTGGATGTGACAATCAGGACAGGATGCTCCGTTCATGATTCCCCAGTCTGGAGCCCAAAAGACCTTGTCAAAGTTCTTCTGCTTCTTATCCAGAGCGGCACAGGCAGCATTTGATCTCTCCACATCAATCATCAGGTCCTCCACTTCATTCTGCAGCCTCTGCTTTGTCTTTTCTAGGGAGGCACATTTGGCATTGACAGCTTCAACATGTTCCTCTGCATCCTGCAGGCGCTGTGCCAGCTTCTTCCTGCAATGCGGTAAGTACAGCTGCAGGTTAGAGGTAAAGGGTTTGCCACAGCTGTGTCCCAGCACCTACTGATTATTAGGCCTGTCTTAACCATTCTAGCCATGAAAAAAACATTTCTCCTTCCAAACTTTTCCACAGGACACTTTTTCTCTCTCTCTCTCTTTCTCTCTCTGCCCTCTATCACAAAGACACTACATGCCAGCCTTTTTTTCCTCCCTTGTCCAAACCCAGTTTCAGAGACTTTCATCTCCCTGCAGAGTCCCAGTGTTCTCCAGTTCTCTCTATATCCCCTTGCCACGTACTTGGCCTCCTCCAGCTCCTCCGTGCGCTGAATAGCGTCCGTCTCGTATTTGGTTCTCCACTGGGCCACTTCGCTGTTGGCCTTGGACAGGGCACGCTGCAGCTCCCCCTTGGCTTCCTGCTCCTCCTCATACTGTTCCCGGAGCAAGTCACAGTCGTGGCGAGCAGACTGCAAGGCGTGGGCCAGTGCGTTCTTGGCCTGTGGGGAATTGGGCTTTGTAACTGGAATGTCCCTTGACAGTGAAATTGAGAGTGAAATTAGAACACAATTCTAATAAGGCAATGCAAAGCTGCCAGCTGATGAAGCCTACAGTGATATGGTCAGGAGGATCAGCATGTGTCAGTGAGAGTTACTCTGGGGACAGAAAACTGCTGTTTCTGTAAATGTTTAGACCTAAGACAGGACGACTCCTGTCTTACAGACTATCGTCAGAACCTCACGAGAGCCTTGTGGATGACTTCCTCCAGCATCAAAATCATTATGCTTCAATCCCTCTCTAGCTTAGGGGTTGAGGTATATTCATTACTGGTGTTCCCTCTGGTATTCCATGTGTTTGGAGAAAGAATACTGAACCAGTCTTGGATCAGACAGCGTTCTCCAGATGCTTCTGAGGGTGATGAAGTTTGTGGACACACGGGTACTTCCATACCTTAATTTCTTCCTCTAGATGCCTCTTGAGTTCCTCAATCTGTTGGGTAAATCCTTGTTTGCCCCTGGACAGCTGAGAAATCAGGGAATCTTTTTCCTCCACTTGGCGTGAATATTCACCTTGGAAGGGTGAATTGAAAGAAGGTAACTGGAGTGTTCGCAACAGGACAGTTTCTGACTGTGAACCCATGTGACCAAGAGCAGCCTGAGAGCTAACACCAGTTGTCACATCTCACCCCTTGATGTCCTCCCATTGTACCTCAGGAATGAAGATGCCCCTTACCTGATTCTGTCTGCAGCCGAGCTCTTTGAGTATTGAGGTCATTGATCATGCGCTGGTTCTGCTCCTCCTTAGTTTTAAGCTCGCTCAGCTGGTCTTCCAGGGTGCGGCACATCTTCTCCAGATTTGCCTAGAGAGGAAACACAAAGAGGGACCGGTGCTGAACACCTGGACTCTTCCTGATTCTCACAGTAGGTAACATTTTTTCATGAGAATGTCATGGTAGAAGCAGCCTACACCTTGTCACTGTGAGCATGTTCTACTGCAATTGCGTACCTTGGCTTTGGAAACAGACTCCATGTTACTGGCCAGGTCGTCGATCTCCATCTTCAGCTCGCTCTTCTCCTTCTCCAGCTTCTGCTTCACTCGCTGCAGGTTGTCGATCTGCTCCCCAAGCTCAGCGGTGCTGTCCGCGTGCTTCTTGCGCAGGGCAGCAGCCGTGGCTTCGTGCTGCAGCGTGGCCTCTTCGAGGTCACGACGCATCTTCTGGAACTCGGCCTCACGCTTCTTGTTCATCTCGATCTGAGCTGCTGTAGCCCCTCCTGCTTCTTCCAGGCGCTCGCTGATCTCCTCCAGCTCCCTCGAGAGGTCAGACCGATGCTTCTCTGCTTTTGCCCGAGAGGTTCGCTCTGCCTCAATTTCCTCCTCCAGTTCCTCAATACGAGCCTGGAGAACATCAGGGACCATTCACACCCATGCCCTCCTCTTACCTGACCTGAGGTTTTGTGAGAGGGGCAAGGAACAGAGACTTGCCTGCAGCTCCTTGATCTTCTTCTGTAATTGCATACCCAGGGCTTGTTCATCCTCAATTTTGCTCTGGATCTGGCTGATTTCAAAGTCTTTCCTTTGGGCAAAGAAAACTGTGTTGGAGCTGAAAGAAAAAAGACAAGCACAGCAGACCAGCACCCACATGCCCCACACCACACTTACTTCTTGAGTTTCTCATCCAGCTGCTGCTTATCGTTTTCCAAATCCATGATGCTGTCCTGGGCCAGCTTCAGGTCCCCTTCGAGTTTCCTCTTGGCTCTTTCAAGGTCCATGCGCAGTTTCTTCTCTTGCTCCAGGGACCCTTCAAGCTAAAGGAAAGACCATCAGTGTTCTGTTGGTAGTGTCTGACTGTAACAGCTTTAATCTCATATACATCTTTACCCTTCCAGCTAAAACAAACAAGGCCATTAGTACCCTGCTGGCTATTCTTTCCCTTTTCATTTAACTACACAGTTGCTTACATCATCCACTTGTTGCTCCAGCTTGGTCTTAGCCTTGGTCAGAGTATTGACTTTGTCTTCCTCTACTTGCAAGTCATCCAGTGTCTGCTGATGGGCCTCTTGGAGGGCTTTCTTCTCTTTTGTCAGCTTGGCAATAGTCTCATCCAGGGCTGCCATCTCCTCTGTGAGGTTTTTCACCTAGTGATTAGGAGAAAACAGTCTGTAAAAGACCTGACTGCTAGCACAGGGACCTTTTCACTTTGCAGTGTTTAGCCATGAGTGTGTTTCTCATTTGGGTTGCCTTGCTGTGATGCTACTGGTATGTTCCATACTTAGCTTTGTTCTGAGGCTACCAGGAAGATGTGGGAAGCGCCTGTCCCTTCAGCCCTTTCGTGTCTCCCCATGAGTGTACCTTGTTTTCAGTGGCATGCTTTTCCTTCTCCACTTTGGCCAATGTTAACTCAAGGTCATCAATATCTTTCTTCAGCTCTGAACATTCATCCTCCAGTTTTCTCTTCTTGGCTGTCAGCTCCGCATTCAGTTCCTCCTCATCCTCAGCCCTTTCAGTCACCTCCTTAATTTTGGCTTCCAGCTGGATTTTGGTTTTGATGAGCTGGTCACATCTCTCCTCAGCATCAGCCAAACTGTCTGCTTCCTGGTGGGGAGACACAGGTTTTTGTGGGTTGTAATGTTTCACCCCTTTGTCTTTTCTATTGCTAAGTAGGCATGTGTTAAAATGGGGGCTGAACCTGGCCTCCAACTTCAGCAAGTGGAAGATCTTTCCTGGAGGCCACTGGGAAACCTTGTCATCTGGTAACAACATTGATTCCAAATCTTTTGGGTCTCTGAAAAATGCCTCACATAAAGGGTAACTATGAGAATATCTCACAGCTACTGCACTTATAGGCAGAAGTACAGAGTGGTCACTTCAAATAATCTTTTCAGCAGGAGCAAGGTCTTAGTGTGTTTTTTCCTGACAGAAATGTATTTTGTAGTTTTTTTCTTTTCGATTGTCTCATCATGAACCTTGCAATATTTCAGATGTAATGGCTTTTCCAATTTTGAGAATAACTCCACTAAACTGAAAGTAACTAAATTTAGTTGAGAAATACATTCATCAGTTTTCTACATGCATTAAAAGCACTGCAAGACCAATAGAGTTCTTGCCTTTTCTATCAGCTTGCCTTGTACCTTACTTTTACTCCACACCTAGCATTTCCAGTGCTTTCAGTTTGATTACTTCATTTGCTGTTAAGAACTTGCCTTTTCCTAACTGAGTCTGAATGAGAAGTAGCAATGCTTCCAAAAGCAATAGAGGCTTTCTGGTGTAGCTCTAAGTAGGAAAACTTATGTTTGCCTTTAGACAGATACACTGTTTTGAAAGTTGAGTTACATGGAGATACTTCCCTTCCAGTGGAGATATTTCTGCTCTGGATTACATGCTGGAAAGTGCTACCTGGATCTTTCCTCAGATAGCAGGAATGCCGAGTTTCATGTGGAGCTGCTATGAGTCTCAACATGCCCCTGCCAGTGCCAATTTACTCCACATCAGAGTGCCTTACGGTGTGTGATTTAGACTGTTTCCTACTGCACGTTAGTCAGCTCTCTGCAAGTCTCTGCTTAGGGTCAGCAGCATTCTCAGTGTGTGTCATTCTTTTCCTCAGGACAAGTGAATAGCGATACTTACTGCCTGTACTTGGAGCTGCAGGTCATTTTTCTCCTGCAGCAGGGCCACCATTTTTTCTTCCAGCTCCTTCCTCTTTGCCTCAGACTTTTCAAGTTCCTCCTTCGTTTTCTCAAACTCTTGTTTCATGTTGGCCATCTCTTTCTCAGATTCTGCACTCTTTAGCAAGGGCTTGATCTTAAAGAACAGCTTCATCCAAGGCCAGTGCTTCACATTCATGAATGACCTGACATTGTACTGAATGCAGAAGATGGATTCCCTGAAATGACATTCACATGGCTCTTGCATAGCTTTGTTGTGACAAATTAGGCACGTTCCACGAGAACAAACTCAATATGAGAAATGTCTACCTCCTCTCCACCATTTTCCGGTACTCCACCCTCATGAGGAAGCCCCTGCACCTGGCTTGTGTCATGGTCATAATTTCTGCCAGCTTGTCATCTCTCATCTCCTCCAGGAGTCCCAGCAACCCAGCTTTGAAGAACACCTTAAGAAAGGAAATGTTACAGCATGTCATTGTATAGTAGTACAGAATAGTGGCACAGAGGCTTTCAGGTTCCTGGTAGATCTTAATATTAGGGCATGGGCAGCCTCAGCTTGGGCCCCCTCCCAAACAGTAAGCATTTAGTCCCAATCTGAGCTATGTGGTATGAGTTCTGGTTTCCAGATCAGCCATAGCCATAGCCACAGCCACACCTATGCCTGGTCATGGACCCCACTAAGATTTACCATGATGTGCAAACTCTCTTCCTCGCTTGATGTTAGATTATTCCAGTTGCTGTAAGTATTTCCAGAATTAATGAGTAGAGCCTGGGCCTTGTTAGCCTATCTATATCTGACTCTTGCCAACCTAGAAAATCAGGCTTTATGGCTTCACCTCAGACCTTTATTGTCCCAAACCTCCCTGATGATCTGGAATCTTGGTTGCATGTGACTACCGTTACAGGGTCTTCCCCATTGGCTTTGCTTGAGTACTGAGGGTTTGGGCCCCTACACTGCCAGATGCGTTCTTTTCTTGTGCTCCCTCCCCCTGGCAGAGCTCCCTGACAAACTTTTAACAAAAGCCTGGTTCCTACCTTGGTGTGACCAAATCTGTACTGGGTGTGGTCCACATCAATGGAACCAAGGAGCTTCTCTGAAGCCTTCTTGCTGTCCATGAACTGTCCATCTGGAATAGCACTGGCATTGAGCACTCTGTATCTGCAGAAGAAAACAGAACATGGAGAAATGCCTGTCAACAAAACTGCCAGTCTGATTAAACCCCACAGCCTTCTCACAGAACCAGTCTCATTCCTGCAGACAGTTCACCATTTCACAACAGGATAGGGAGAGTGTTTTCACTATTAACATTAAGTTCCAGAGAATCCTGATCTCATCAATGTCATATCAACATCAACTGGCAGTGAAAAAATTTCATATTGCTGCTCAGTACCAATTTAAAGCATAATGTTTTGAGTGTATCATGATACTCAGGGCTCTTCAGCTGGTCTGAATGGGCAAAAATGTGGAGCACTCTTACCTTTGTTTGAAGTCAGCATACAGGACTCTGCTGGGAAATCCTTTCCTGCAAATCCTGATGCCTTCCAGCACACCGTTACAGCGCAGCTGATGCAACACCAGTTCATGTTCCATGGCACCTAACAATGACCACCATTAGCGACTACCCAACTGTTTCACACTCAGAAGAGCTTCTGCTGCTCATGCTTCTCTCCTGTTGGATCCCCTTACCAGGTGTTTTTGTTTCATTTGGGATGATGCATCGTACAAAATGGGGGTGAGTGCTTCTCAGGTTAGCCATCAGCTTGTTTAAGTTCTCCTGTGAGATCATGAAGTTTGTATTATTAAGAGTATAGCATTGGAAGCTTGACAGTGGATATATCAAGCTATTTCAGGATGCAGACCTGTCTTCTCTAAAGCATCTTGCAATACTCCCAAAAGGATACTTTAAATTTTTGGCTGTAAAATTTTTCTGTAGAGTAATGGTTAGTGTCACTTTAGCTTGATCTCCTTATGCAAATATACAGCTGACATTTCCCAGCTTTCATTCCAGCTGGTATTTCTTGTGATATTTAGTTGGGCATTTTAAGTGGTTGATATGTACTCTTTGTTACATGTGACTAGTGTCTTATCTGGCACTTATTTAAGTTTTTTTATAAATGGGCAGACTGTTTTTAAAGCCCATATAATCTGACATTTTTAGTAGTAATTCAGTCTCCCTAAATATCTCCACCTCAGTCAAATGGTAACCTTCAAAACCTAACTGAAAAATCACGTCAAAAATCATTGATTTGTTGTCATTTAACAGCCACTCTTTTTCCCCTCTGAAATTAAAACACTGCCTTAAAATCTACCATTCTCAAGGAAACTTTCTTAGCTTATGATGTCTAATCTATTATTTTTAAACTCTACAATGTGTACATGCTGAAAATCTTCATAGATATGTAAAACATGTATAGAAAATAGCTCTGAATTCTCCAGGGAAGGTTTTAAGGAAGTTGAGCTGTTGTGGTATTCACTCCCAGTATGAGTAGGTGAACTTCAGCCCCTGGAGTTTTTCATTGAATATACAGAGAAAGTGACAGCAAGAGAAAGACAAGTGGAAGAATTCAGGAAAATATAAAAATCGATTTCTATAACTAGATGGAAAAGAAGTGCTTAACACAATTGCCAAGCAAATTCCAGGAGGCTGACAATGTAATTCTGTCTCCTGAAATAAAAGAAAGTTCATACACATATTGGGGGAGAAGTTTTGTGGCATTCTAACAGCCTAATTCTCCTATTTCCAAAACTGAAATAGACTTTTCAGATTCAGAGTAAAAGATTTCCATCTTCAAAGACAAAATGAATTCTGTACATACCCGGAAAAGAGCTGAGACAGTCTGGAAAGAAGAGCCCTTCTTCTTGCCACCCTTCTTGCCACCACCACCAGCATCTGCAAAAGGAAGAACAACAACAACAAAATAATAAAAAATGGATTGTGCATACTGGAAACTACAGAATGCAAAACAGCATTGAATGTTCAGTGTTCACTGCCTTAATTCCATGTCAGCATTGTCTCATAATGAATGTACAATTTTCACAAAGCTGACCTGCATCTGCTCCACCATAGCTGGCAAAGAGTAAGGCCAGTGTCTTCAGGGATGACTTCTGGTACAACCCGATGACAGTTTCATTCAGAGGGTCTTTGTTCTTCTCAAGCCAGCCACTGATGTTGTAGTCCACTGTGCCAGCATAGTGCACCAGTGAGAAATGGGCCTCAGCCTTGCCTTTGGCAGGCTTTGGCTTCTGGAAGTTGTTGGACTTGCCCAGGTGCTGGTCATAGAGCTTGTTCTTGAAAGAGGTGTCAGTTGCCTTGGGGAACATGCACTCCTCTTCCAGGATGGAGAAGATGCCCATGGGCTGGAAAGTACCACAAGCAGCAGGAGAGAAAAATTGTAATGATGTGAAGCATGTTCTATGAATATCAAAGGTGTGAGCCTGTAGCTGGTAGCATCTCAGCCTGGATAAGGGCCTATGATTGTTAGGAGTTGTTCTCATCCAGGAAGCTTATTTCTGCCTTCCCTTGCCTTCCTGCAGCCTGTTTTCATGGAACTGGTAAGAACATCTGTTCAGTTCAGGTTAGAACTGGGAGTAGAAATGGAGGGAGAAGTGGTATACAGAAAAACTATTGGGACAATAGCCACAAGAGGTGCCGAATTTGGTTGTGGAGGAGTCCCAGTTTGAGTCTTCAGAGGAGAAAGGAAAGGGGAGCAATTCCAGTTTGTTTTAAGAAAGTCTGTTGGTGGGAATCCAGGCTACACTTTCCATGCCTGAAAACCAGGCAATGCAGGATTGATGGCACAGGTTTGCGTTTCCCAATTTCTATTCCCCAGATGAAAATACATTTCAGTGCAAACTATTTTGTTTACATGACACTGAATGTCTGGCTGTGAGGTCTTTCTGAGCTGAATCTGGCTCAGAGAAACCACAGAATTCCAATATACATTGCACACTTGTATGGAAAAGGTACCTTCTCAATGAGCTCAATGCAGGCAGCCAGGTCCATCCCAAAGTCAATGAACTCCCATTCAATTCCTTCCTTCTTGTACTCCTCTTGCTCCAGCACAAACATGTGGTGGTTGAAGAACTGTTGCAGTTTCTCATTGGTGAAGTTGATGCACAGCTGCTCAAAGCTGTTGAACTGCCCAAAGCAAGGAGAGGAACACAGGTTCTCAACATGTGGCAAACACCAAAAATATTTGCTAGCATAATCCTAGTGCTGTTTGAAGTTCCCCACATGAAACACCACTCCTAACTTTTACAGCATGTGTTTCCTTCTGTAACCTTAGCTGCATCTTCGTGTAGGTGTCTCAGCTCTCTGACCACCCAGCCAAGCATTTCTCTGCCCTTAGATCAACAACCTGGAGGTTTCTCTGCTGCGGCACAGACGTCCTAGCACCATCACTGCTTTCACAGCAGAGGAAACATGCTGTGAACTTTCCCAAAGCACTACTCTTTCCATAGCTTTTCCACACTTTTGGCCCACATCTGTGTGAGCCTGAGTCCTAGAGCTGTCTCTTTGTTTGCAGAGACAAAAACCTTTGCAAGCTCAAGGGCCTCTGAGATCATTTGTCAGAAAGCAGAGCTTTCTTCTATCTGATGGTAACGTTAGAATCCAAGTGCTGGGTAAATCCAGTTGAGGGTACTACTGTGACAGTGAAGTGGGAAGGGTTTCTAGAAAACTGCAGATGAGAATAAGCTTCTGATTCCTTTTAAAAAAGAAGTGTGTTTCTGAGTCCTCATGACTCCTCCCTTGACTATGGTGCCAAATCCTTGCTTCTTACATCAAAGATTTCAAAGCCGGCAATGTCCAGGACACCAATGAAGTACTGTCTGGGCTGCTTGGTATCCAGCTGTTGGTTGATGCGAACAACCATCCACAAGAACATCTTCTCAAAGACAGCTTTTGCCAGGGCACCAACTGCATTGTTCACCTACAGCAGAAAAGAAAGGACAGGAGTTACCCCCCAGTATCAATGAAGAATGCTTAAATATTTTTGAAGCCATTTTCAAACTATCCTCTATTTACCTGCTCAACAGTTTGACCTTTGGTCACGTATTCGTTCCCGACCTTGACTCTGGGGTAACACAGGGCTTTGAGCAACTCAGCTGAATTAAGTCCCATAAGGTAGGCAGCCTTGTCAGCCACTACAGGAGGAGAGAGATAAGTATTTGTCTTTGGACAATGGCTAGAATTTGGTTAATGTGAACAGCTCTGTTGTCCATGTTCTAGAAATGGAAAAGCAATGGCCTGGCTCATACAGATGGTCTGGGAAGGAATATTAATTCTAAAAGATGTCCTTCTTTGAAAGGAAGGTCAGGTATGGCTTGGATAGGAATAGTTTGAATATGAAAGTTCCCAGAAGGAACCCCAAAGCCTCTGGGAATACCTGAGGCATGGGGGGAGCACATTTCTGCGGAAAGTGGATTTCTGCATAGCAAAGAAAGCAGGATTTATTTCACAAAACCTGTGATTGCACATCATCGTGACCTAGTGGTTGAATGATTTAGAGAGAGAGTCTGTGTTCCTGCCCTAAGGCTGTGTGTGTTTGGGATGTACCATTGCATAAAATAAAGGTATTTCCCATGATCAGGGAAGCTTTTCTCCAGTGTTTTATGTGCTCTGGCCAAGAAAGGCCTGTCTTTGGAGGCCAACATGTGTTTCCTGCAAACAGAGAATTTCTTTGAACAAGTCAGTTGCTGAATCTACTGTTACCTTCAGTGCCATCAGGCTCTGCCTGCTCCTCTCGTTGTTTCTGCTTGAATTTCAGGTTGCCATAGTGCATGACAGCTCCCGTCAGTTTGTAGATGGCTGTCTTCTCATCAGCACTGAAGCCCAGGATGTCAATGGCACTCTGCAGTTGAAACAATGCAGCAAAAACATTACCTAACCTAACATTATTATATTAGGTTATATTATATATGTAGGTAATAAGTGATATTTTAGGCAATTGATTGATGGATTGATGGCTTTGCTTCATGAGAGAAGATATGGGATGTATTACATATATATAGGCAATATATATACTTAATTTACATTTATATAGAGGTAATATATTATTATATACTGTATATGTAATAAAGGTTTAGGTAATATAGGTATAGGTAGTAATACATAAGATTACCAAACTGAGATTAACAATCTCATTACAAATGTTTTCTTCATAGTACTTACGTCTGTAGCCATAAGCTCTTCCTGGTCATCAATACTGGGAACAGTGACCTCACCTTGACTCACGTAGTGAAAGTCATAAGGGTTGGTGGTAATGAGGAGCATGTCTGAAAACAGGAAGAAGCAAGACACAGGTTTAGTTTTGCCAACCAGGTAATAGAGGGAACTGTTTCTCAGCAATCATCCTTACAAAGTCATAGTGATCCTTCCTACCAATGAGCTCTGGCTTCTTGTTGGACATGATCTGATAGAATATGTGGTAGCTTCTTTCTGCCTTGAGCTGGAAAGTGACTCTGGACTTCTCCAGCAGATCTGCAAGGAAGGGAGAAAGATTCAGTCACAGGAAGGCATGCAGAGGTGGGAACTTAGGAAGGAAAGGGATAAGGCCAGGGGAGTGTCTTACAAGTTTCAATGTCAGCAGAAGCCAGTTTGCCTGTGGCCCCAAAGTGGATTCTGATGAACTTGCCCTGTAAGGACAAGCAGCAGTGTTTCAGTGTGGATGGGTTTTTTTCATGTCTCCTTTATGGAGAATACTGGTAGGGTCATCATGTGTTGTGTAATAAGAGGGAGAGATTTTGTCCAAAGCAACAACTTACAAAGCGTGAGGAGTTGTCATTCCTCACGGTCTTGGCATTTCCAAAGGCCTCCAGCAGTGGGTTGGCGCTGATGATTTGATCCTCAAGCGTTCCCTGCAGGATGATAATTGTTTCTGGTTAGCCTTCCAAAAATCATGTCAGGAACAAAGGAAAGTGTTGATTCATACTGCTATTTATTAAGTAATAATTTCATTCTCAAGCAATCCCTATAGGATGACAATTATTCAGTTACAGTGTTTAGTTGGCATCACAGTCACATGCCAAGCATTGGGTCTCTTCTTCCTGACTCACCTGCATTTTGCCTGATGGCTGATCTTCTTTCTTCTTCTCCCCGCTCGCTGCAATTGTTGCAAAGTACTGGATGACACGCTTCGTGTTCACAGTCTTCCCTGCTCCGGATTCTCCGCTGTGCAGGCAAAGAGAGAAGCAGGTCAGGAAGGAGGTCCCTGGCACCAGGGAGCCCCACAGGGACCGGGGCAGAGAATGTACATACGTGATCAGGATTGACTGGTTCTCACGATCTGTGAAGGAGGCAAAAACAAACATGCTGTCAGTGGCATCCTTGAGTAATACAGAACACAATGTGTGTAATGGATACATCACTGCTTTTTGAGAGCCTATGTTCTATATAGAGACAGCTGGAGTTATCATGTTTGTATTTATTCAATGTTCTTTTCACCTGTGGGGTGTTCATTTAAATTCCCTTCTTGGTCATTGAAATAGGACTTTTTTTTCTTGATTTACCTAATTCTCATAGTAATCGCTGAATGAATACTGATGCAGGAATGCCTGTTATTGCAAGAAGTGGAGGCTTATCTTCCTCTGTGAAGTTTTGTATAGATATTGGAAGATTTTGGCATGAAAGAACTCCATGTAGAATCCACAGAGATAAATACCACATTTCTTTTGTGTCTTTTTAAGGTTCCTGTAAGCATAACTATACATCAGTGAGTCCTCCAACAATTTAGGAATCCAAGATCAGTTTATACTTGTTTTCTTTTAATCAAAATGCTTTTTGGGATGTCTGATTAATTATTATGTGTAAGTAGTGAGGGGTTGTAGCCACTAACGCTGTGTCTAAAGAATTCTGATCTCTCCCTTAATTAAGTTATTTGTAGAAATGTAGAGATTTAATCAATGCTGGTAATCTTTAAACAAGATCTTTTTCTTCCTTTTTTCCTTTTCTTATGTTTCCTTTTCACCAGTGAATTTAAAGAATGGATTTCTGAGGTGGGAAAGAATGTGGGCTTTTCTTGTTTTCAGTAGTTTTTGTTCCAGTATGTTCCTGCTCATTATTTGTTTGTTTCTTTACAAGTCTGTTCTTTAAGGCACTAGTTAGTGCCTGAAGACGAGAAAGAAAGATAACAAATGTAAATAAAAATGCCAAGTGACTTGTTATACATGAACCTGATCCAGAGGTGGGAAAGGAGAAAAACAAACCCCATGCAAATTACCATTCTATTTTTATCCAATATTCAGTACTTTTTTAAACAGTCAATATAATTATTCTCTGATGTTCAGTTATGTCCTTGTGGAATCATCAAACATCTGTAGATGTGTGACCATAAAATCACTGATTCCCTTCGGTATACTGCAACTTTGGTGCACAGAATTCTAGACATTTCTGTTCAAGTAACTTTCATGTCTAAGAAGCAAATCTGTAATACAAGAGTAGGAACTAACAGCTAATTTGAAATGAAGGCATTTATCATTGTTTCCAGATGGTGCAACTTCTCTGTGATTTTGGCTGTTATTATTTCCCAAGAAGCTGAAAATATCAGAATAGCACCTGAAATCAAAATAAGTCTCCATGAAGCCAAAACAATAATTTTTTTAGGACAGATTAAATAATTTGTTCAGAGGTTTCTTAATATTTTCTGTCACATTTGGAGCAAATAAAATCTCATTTTGTTTCACCTAAGCAAATTAATTTTACCAATTATTCTTTAACTTTTTCAGTGCTCTTGTCTGCATGCTATCAATTAGAGTTTTAAAAATTATTTGGACAGAACTGGTTTTAATGCATAATATCAGCAACTGCTAAAATAAATTCATTACGGGCTCAAGCTGAGGTTTACAATAATTTTTTTTCCTTTTTTAAAAAACACCCAAATGTTATATCATGATGAAGATGCTGCCATTTTCTCACCAGTCAGCATGAACTGATAGGCGTTGTCAGAGATGGAGAAGATGTGTGGAGGGGCCTCCTGGCGCTTCTTGCCTCGGTAGGCCAACACCACCTCGGGGTTGTACACCGGCAGCCACTTGTAGGGGTTGACGGTGACACAGAAGAGACCCGAGTAGGTCTGTGGGGAAGGGAGACAGCACGTTGGCTTCCACTTAGGCTGGCAGAGCAGTTCCTCCCAGCTACCCAGAGGAAGACTGCTGCTGGTACTTACGTAGATCATCCAGGCTGCGTAACGCTCTTTGAGGTTGTACAGCACAGCGGGTTCATGGAGGTGGGTCATCATGGCCATGTCCTCGATTTTATCGTACTTGGGAGGGTTCATGGGAAAGACTTGGTCTTCCTTCACGGTCAGGGTCTGTCAGATGGAGAAAGAGATCGATGTATGTCAGCTTAAAGCGGACAGTAGGAATTACATACAGATTTTAATCTTAGATCTTTCCTCACCTCTCCGCCTTCAGTCTTGACAGTGACTTTCCCTGATTCTTTGCTCTGGACTGTCCCTTTCACAAAGGATTCCTTAGGATGCACCACAAAGACCGATGATTTGGCATCAAAAGGCCTGTTCTGGGCCTCAATTCTCTCCTTTTCTGATTTTCGGAGGTAAGGAGCCGCCTCCCCAAAGGCGGCCATCTCAGCGTCCGGAGACGACATGGCTGCACTTTATGCAGGAGTCACAGTCAGCAGAGTGTTCTGTAATTAAGAAGGTATGTTGAATCAGTGAGTGAACAGCTTTGTGTGGAAGAGGATATCTCTTTCACTTTGACCTATTCAAATATTTAAATAGGTACAAACAAGTCAAAAGTTGGATTTAAACTTCCCATTCTTAAAAATATTTGGATAGTTTTCTGAAATTGATCCTTAGATATCTCAGTATGTAACAAAGAAGAGCACTTCTTTAGTGCTGCAGTATTGTAGTACAGTTTAGCAGTATTATCTCAACTTTGTGAACTCTAGTGAATTTGGACACTGCCGTAAAAGAGATGTCATATTAAATAAGTCTGATTATTTTTTTTTAACATTACTTGAGAGTCTCTGAGAGACTTCATTGTCTGATAGCAAATAGTACGTTTTCACTGGAAAATTTACTTGATATGGATGTATCGTCTTCCATTATGATAGATATAAAAGTCATTACTGCTTTTTCTGCTTTTTAGAAATCTTAATCTTTTGGATTGTGTTACACAGATATCCGAGCTAATATGTAAGTTGAAGGTAAAAATGCTGCCTTCAAATCTACAAAATCATCACTGGTGATAGAGACAGTCCCTGATAGAAATGGATAGTCAAGGCTTAAAGGAAGTTAAATAGAATAAAAAGGTCTATGTTTTGCCCAGAAGTTCACAGAAGCCATACACTTACCTTGAAATTTTCTGCAAGACTGGGCACAGCACTCCAAAGGGACTTTTATAGAGTCTGGTATGCAGATGCTCAGGATGTTTCCTTTTCCTTCAAGCGAAATGTATTTTGGCAAACTACCTTTGGCAAAACATTGTCTGGCAAACTTAACTAATGGCATAATTGTCATTTGATTTGACTAGATATAATTAGAAATGTTTTACATCTTACCATTCCTGTGGATACATTTCCTATAAATAGTCTGACAGGATTATTAATAAGGGAATCTTGAATAGTCAAGGCACCTAAAGAACTTTGATGTAGAATTTATAGGTACCCCTACTGCCTTTACTGATAACCTAATCTTTGACCCAGACATTAAGCATTTTTGTACTGCAACTATTCCGGATGTAAAATGGGAATGATACAATATATCTTGTGCACATGGTCCTGTGAATATAGGGGGTGTCTTTACAGCATTAGAGAGGACAATTTCACAAATGACAAATCATGACCAAATGTCATTTTGTAATTCACTATATGTTATACTGAAAAAGAGAAAACCAAAAACATATTGTGGTCCAGGACTTCGACTGCAGTAGCATTAGATACTGAGGAATCCAAGAGACAGAAAGTCAGAATACAAGTTCAAGTTTGGACATGTAAGTCATGCTCAGAGTGTGAAAGGTGACTCCTTTGCTATAAAAAGAAATAAATATCTGTGTGAGCAAACCTGCACTTGGTTTTGGTTGGGTTTTTTTGGGGGGAGGGGGTCAAAAATTGAAAAATTCAAAATGTGCATACTGGAGGAATTGTTCACTGTTGCTGTAGTCAGTGCTAATTGATGTTAGGGAAAAGCCATACCTAGTCAAACAAACGAATCATACTCGGCACCAGAATAAATTATACTGCTTTTTTTTTCTAAAAACTTTCTGGTTTTAAAAGATTTAATGCTTTTGCTACAGAGCAGACCTAGACGAAAGGTGTATCATTTAATGACTAGCACTTTTATTAATGGGGAAGTTATTCATAGACATAGTTATTTCTGTTTCCCAACCTTGAGTAAAGATACTCTAAGGGTTAAGAGAGACAAATCTGCAAAAGTAACCTAGACCAGGGAATACCTTCAACCCCAAATATATGCATACTCAATAAATACTGTGATGTTTCTCGTTTCCTCTCACATAAACAATGTTAAGTGTTAATATGCATTAAACAGCTTAAGCCTGTGTTTCCAACATGCATGTGTCCACTGTCAGCATATATCAAGCAATGTCGTCAACCAACTCAGGAAGCAGGAGGTCCTCTAGCCCTTCACTACCTACAACTCCCCCACAAAATACCCATCTACCTAGACACAACTCTACACACAATAAATTTAACCCTTGTGGTCGTCTAATATTTGTAACGAGAGAAACAAAATGTATTACAGTCCAAATTCCTGCATAAAACATTTTTTGGAAGAGAAATGCAGGTCATGACAAAGAAACAAACATATTCTTTTTCTAAACATTTCTATTAAAGATAGATTAAATGCAATAATGCATTAGATACACAGCTGAGTAAGAAGAAATGTGTAATATTTGGTGCCTAGCACTAAAGTAACAAAGTTTATACGGCACTTCCACGTTTAGTACAGTTTTTATGAACATGATAGAGTGAAAAGTGCAAAGTAACGTGCTAAACAGCTTAAGCCTCACCTATGTGCCCATTGTTAGCATATATTAAGCAGTGTTGTCAACCAACTCAGGAAGCAGGAGGTCCTCTAGCCCTTCACTACCTACAACTCCCCCACAAAACACCCATCTACCTAGACACAACTCTATATACAATCACACACCCAGCGTACACTCCAAGATCTTTTCCACTCCGACACTCTCAGTCCAGCACTCCCATCCCATCACAATGTCTTATACCCATAATCACACAGATACAGCAATAAAAGCTATCAACACAGTGCTGCCTATATCAAGGCATTAGAGGCAGTCCTGTAACAATGCTGATACACTGAAAAAGAGGGAATTTGCCAGTATTCTTTGGAGGGTGACTGATCTAGTTGTAGGAAAAAGGCACTGGCACTTGAGCTGCTTTAAGCACTGTCAGTTCAAAACACACCTTTCTCCTGGTCATTGGCATTTTGGTTACTAAAAGAGCAAAGTGGATAAGGCTTGGGGAAGAGTACCAAGGTTGGGAAAATGATGCCTGTGATTCAAGGTAGTATTCAGCATCAAACACTGGCCTGTGCTTGAAGAGCTTGTTCTAAAGAGGGCTCTGGCACTGCAGCACCCACTTTTCTGGAGTTCAAAATCAAACACTCATCCATGGGCTCCCTGCACAGGGCATGGGGAGGCTGATGGAAGCACCCTGTACCCCTGATGTCTCTGAACAATCTCTGACTCCTGTGGTCATGGAGAAGTTAGATAATAGAATCATAGAACGGTTTGCGTTGGCAGGGGCATTGAAAAGATCATCTAATGCAACACCCCTGCTGTGAACAGGGATATCTTTGATTAGATCAGGTTGTTCAAAAGCCCCATCCAACCTGACCTGGAACACTTCCAACCATGGGGTATTCCCAAATTCTGAGGCCAACTTGTTCCCGTGTCTCACCAGCCTCACTTTAATGTCTCCCTTGTCCAAACAGAATCTACTCTCTTTAGTTTAAATCCTTTGCCCCTTGTTCTGTTCCTGCAAGTCCTCATAAAAAGCCTTTTTCCATCTCTCTTATATGCCTCCTTTCTGTACTAAATGGCCACAATATGGCCTCCTCAGAGGCCCAACTCTCTCAGCCTTTCTCCACAGGGGAGGTGTTCCAGTCCTTGGATCATTTTTGTTGCCCTCCTCTGCACCTGCTTGAGTGGGTCTTTGTCTTTCTTGTGCTGGACTCCCAGATCTGGACACAGTACTCCAACTGGAGTCTCATGAGAGCATCCCATCCACTAGCACTAGTGAGCAGCAGTTCTTTACTGTGAAGGTGGTGAGGCACTGAAACAGGTTGCCCAAGGAAGTTGTGAATGCTCCATCCCTGGCAGTGTTCAAGGCCAGGTTGGATGGAGTCTTGGGTGACATGATTTAGTGTGGTGTCTCTGCCCATGGCAGGAGGGTTGGAACTAGATGATCTTAAGGTCCTTTCCAACCCAAACCGTTTTATGATTCTATGATTCTGTGTCTGGGTGGTTAAAGTCTCCCATTAGGTTCAGGGTCTGTGAGAGTGATGCTTCCTGCAGTCAGAGAAAGAGCTCTTAATCAACCTTCTCCCTTTGATCAGGTGGCCTGGATGAAATACCAGCCACGCTTTCTTTTGTTGGCTTGGCTGCTAATTTTTACTTATAAGCTCTTAACCCAGCTCATAACTGTTCTTCAAATATAGCTCTATAAAAGCAATACATTTTTCACATAGACGGCAACCTGCCAACCTCTCCTTTCTTGCCTTACCCTTTTGTATGGTTTATAGACGTCAACCACAGTACTCCAGTTGTGCAATTCATCCAACCAAGTTTTAGTGATAGCAATCAGGTCATAGTTTTGCAGCTGGGCAGTAGCTACAAAGTCCTTCTGTTTATTTCCCATGCTGCATGTGCTGTTACAACGGCACTTCAGCTGGACTATTGGCCAAATTCCTTTAAATGTGTTCACCCAAATTCCCTTAAAACAATTCACAGGCGTTTCCCTGTGGAGCAACCAAAAGGCACAAAGTCTGTGCAGCCAAATGGGCCTGATTGAAAGAAGCTGATGTGCCTTTGGACAACAGTAACGTTTTCTTCCCATTCTGACATGCCTGTCATTTAGATGGAGATGCACCTAAATACAGTCAGCTACAAAGCACAGGTCAAACATTCTTTAGGCCTGCCCACTGGTTCTTTCTGTCACACTTTGCTTACTGGTGGCAGTTATGCCTGTGACCATCTGCCAGCAGGAAGCTGTCTGTTGGTCCTGCACACTGCAGGAGGGATATTGATTTGAACCAGCCAGTGGTCATGGCTGACAGACCTCAGATCTCAGCTAGTCCTCTGAGGACTGACAGCAGACTATTCCTTGACCTGCACCACACAGTTTTTGTTCCCAGCCAATGCGGGCTTTTCCCCCAGCTGCTGCTGAAACCATTGTTTCACATGGTACACATGCTGTTAAGTTCAATAATTAACACATCCCTGGTAAAGTAACAAGCCATCCCAGAAACATCAAAGGCCAGGATGGAGTCAAACCCTCTCCTCAGCTGTTTTCAATTGCCTCTGTGAGATAACAACTGAACTTCTGCTAAGTTCTAACTTCTGCTTCAACTCTTCTGCTAAGCCCAGGATGGGATAGAGCTTGAGGTTCTGGTAGATGACCTTGAAAAAATCAGTCTCTGTGGGATTTGCAGCATGTTGGTGTTGTTAACAGCCATGCTGTTTGGATTAACAGAGCATGCCTGTAGGGATCAGTGTGTCCTGAGTTATGTGACATGGAAGATCTAGCTTGAAGCTAGAGCATAGCAAGGCAGGCTTGATAGACAACAGAAGAGGCAGCTACAGCAGAGGTAAGATGTCAGTATGTCATCAAAGCATCCACCGTTCTTTCCTTCTTTTCTTCTGTCCTCCCAGATTTTTTTGTTTCACAGAGCAGATTTACTATCCACAGGCCTAATGGGATGGTGTCTCTCATGGGTGATATGGCAGTTCTTAGGTGAAAAAACTAAGATATGGTAAACTACTATTTTATAAGGGGTAAGGACTGCATTTGATTATCAGGGAACCCAGGGTGCTATAAGGTGAAGCAAAAGTATTTCATGCATGACAGAGACAAATCATGTTAGAAAACATACACTGTAAGAAGTGCAGCTTTCAAATCGTGTTGTCACTTATGTTGCAGTTATTTGTTAAGCATGCTGAGAGAAATGTCACCAGACCCAACAGGCAGTCTGACAAGGAATGCCCAGCCTCCACTCCAGCAGTGTTTCTTCAGACAGCAGTCCTCTGTGTAAAAGAACTCCTCCCAGGAATGCTAGCCCTGGCTGAACAGAAATGCCAGCACCCTGATCCTTTGGAGGGAAACTCCTCTTCCCTGACCCTCTGCTAAGACACAGCTGAGTGCTGGAGCCTACAAATGGTACACACACACTTTCTCATTAAAAAGCCAGTCTTTTCTGCTGATGGGCATTGACTCGTGGAATTAAACACAAGGAGTGCTTTCTCCACACCTAGCATACTATGCCTGCTCCACTTAGGTGTTTGTGGATTTTCTGGTTGAGATGCATCCCATCTCAGGATAGCCATGAAGAGACCAGGATGGCCTTTAGCCATCTCCTCCTCCTGCTTCTCTGCTCAGGGACCAACTTCTGCAGATCTTTCCTGACCTCACAGCAGGGAAAAGGGGAAGGAATGCATTTTTCCTTTAGGGAGTTTATTCACAGCTTTTTCTATTGGTCTTCTCTTTCTAGTGAGAACATTCTTACTTGGCTTCCTGTAGCCTGAAAAGACTGTCTCGGTGGAGAAGGACAAGATTGACTGGAAAGGTAAACAGAGTAGCTGGTAGGACATACCTGCCATTTGAAGTTGGGCTGTACTTGAATGAGTGCCCTATTTGCACAGTTATTGAGATACCTTTTACTTCTAAGCTAAGATACCTGGAAGCAATCATTGCTGGGCAGTGGGTCCTGGCTGAGAAGGTGGTCTTCTGAATGCTCTTTCCATCACCCACTAAAGCAATTGGAGGGCTCCTGCTACAGGGCAGTTGAGGAGACAATCAGGCCTCTTTGGTAATGACAGGGAAGGAAATCAGACAGAAATGAAGATAGGATGGTAATGTGACACCAGATAGTCAGCAGCCATCATGTCAGGGTGTTCTAAAAGCACTTGCATACCCTTGTCCTGAGGAGATTTTCTGCTCACATCACCAAAGGCTCCTGGGGACACACGTTTCTCTTCATGAGGCTTGTGTTTGTTCAAGTGAAAGTTTAATACAAGTAATAGGGACATTATATGAGCTCTAGTCAGGCAGACTTGGGAAAATGCATCTCATATGCTCTCCAGTTCAAATAAAAATTGCTCATGGTCTGTATGTAGCAGATTTTGTGTTCTTTAAACTCTAGACATTCACACATTGGCATGGTTGCTAAGTATGGGAGAAAGTGACTGAGATGTTCACATTTTGTGCAGCCCTCAGGCACTTTGCTGCCTCATGACAGCCTCACTCTTCCTCTTCTATCTTCTTGCCATGAAACTCCCGGCTCTTGGCTCGGAGCTTGTTGACCTGGGACTCTGCAATGTCAGCCCGCTCCTCAGCTTCCTCCAGCTCGTGCTGGATCTTGCGGAACTTGGAGAGGTTGACATTGGACAGCTCCTCCTGTGTGGGGAGAGGGAGTTGGTGGTGAGCAGACCTTGCAGAGCTGCGGCTCTTCTGCAGAAAGGCACGTACTTCCATCCCTCATGCACGACATAAAAAAGTTACACAGACCTCCTCATCCTCCCTTATTCAGGACCCAACTGTAACATACTTCACCAGCACCATGTCACACTTGAGAAAAAACTTCATCACTTGATCTTGTCATCTGTTTACTCCTTCTACCACTTATTCATTCTCAAATATCAGTGTGATTAATTATATGGACAAAGATCCTGAAGCTTTCTGGTATTGATTACTAGCAGAGATTAATGAATTCAGTGGCACCTGAGATCGTTTAGTCTGACCTGCTGTGTAACACAGGCTGCAGAACTTCCCTCAGTTCATCCCTCACTACTCCAGGATGCCCAGAAATCAGAAAGACCTCCTGACAGGAAACCAAATGGCATGGCCAAGACTGGCGTGTCTTGGCAGCTTCTTTCATACCCCTATCCTGGTAGTCACAATCATGGCAATGAGCCTGCTGCCCCAGTGGAAGGTGCCTGTTCTTCAGGCAATACTTACAGACTCCTCTGCTTGTCTCTTGTAGGATTTCACTTTCATTTGCAGCTTGTCCACCAGATCCTGCAGCCTCAGAATATTCTTCCGGTCTTCCTCAGTCTAGAGTGGTTGGTAAGCAGGAAAGAGAATGAATTATTGGTTCTTCATCATGTGAGCTTAAGAAATCCCTTTGGGGATGGTGTGTACAAAATGGGACTTGCTGTGAGAGCAAGGACACCACCTGCCTTACCTGGTAGGTCAGCTCCTTCACCCTCCTCTCATACTTGCGCACACCCTTCACGGCTTCAGCGCTGCGCTTCTGCTCAGCATCAACCTCCCCTTCCAGCTCCCGCACCTGCAATCACAAGCCCATCTTTGGAGCTTCCCTGCTATCTCTCCAAGGCACATGCTCACTCTTGCACAAACACCAGCCCTACGCACTCTGGCCTCCAGCTTCTGGATTTGCTTCTTGCCTCCCTTCAGTGCCAACTGCTCAGCCTCATCCAGACGGAGCTGCAGGTCCTTCACCGTCTGGTCCAGGTTCTTCTTCATCCTCTCCAGGTGGGCGCTGGTGTCCTGCTCCTTCTTCAGCTCTTCTGCCATCATGGCCGCCTGAAGAGAGCAAAGGGTCAAAGCCATTTTGGGGCTGGAGACATTTTTGGGGAGAATACATCCACCATCAGCAATGAAAGGAGCCCCCAACTCACATCTGTGATGGCCTTCTTGGCCTTCTCTTCAGCATTGCGGGCTTCCTGGATGGTATCTTCCATCTCACCCTGAATTTGCACAATGTCTGTTTCTAGCTTCTTCTTGGTGTTGATCAAGCTGGTGTTCTGTAGCACAGAAAAGACACAAGTTGTACTTTTAGAACTAATGCCTCCATATCACTTGCTTAACGTGCAATTATTGCTTAGGAAAGTCTTTAATGCATGAGTCATCTTTGGAGCCATAGCATCAAACAGCACCAGCAGGTGGCTGGCTGCAAACGCTTTAACACAGCATGTTGCTTTAAGAGATTGCATAGTAATCACTTTCAATGTCTAGCGACCACATTCTGAGCTGACCCTTGCTGATGGGATTAATTTCCAGCAGAGTGCCTGACCTGGGTATGGAGGAGCTGCACACGTTCAGTGGCATCCAGAAGCTCCTGCTCAGCCAATTTCCTGGACCGCTCCGTCTGCTCCAGGGCTGCCCGTAGCTCCTCAACTTCAGCCTGCAACAAGTTTGCTCTGCGCTCCACCATGGCCACCTGCTCCTTCAGGTCCTCCTGTGTCCTCAGAGCATCATCCAAGTGTATTTGAGTATCCTGTAAAAGAGGCAACAGAAATTACGAGGTGGAAGTGTGAGCTTGGGTGTCAAGAATGTCAGGGATGTCGTATCTCTTTTGTAGCATTGCTGAACGGACCTTGAGCACTCCCTGAGTGTTTCTCAGGTTCTTCTGTGCCTCAGCAGCCACTCGGTTGGCATGGCTGAGCTGGATCTCCATTTCATTCAGGTCTCCCTCCATTTTCTTCTTCAGACGCAAGGCTTCGTTCCTGCTCCTGATCTCAGCATCCAGGGTGCTCTGCATGGACTCCACAATTCTGAGGTGGTTTCTCTTCAGCTGGTCAATTTCCTCATCTTTCTCTGCTACCTTCCTGTCAATCTCAGACTTGACCTGGTTGAGCTCAAGCTGGAGACGCAGGATCTTCCCCTCTTCATGTTCTAGGGAGGCCTGGAGAAGTCAGCAGGAACAGTGACTTAACTGCTGCTTCTTTTCTAAGTAATATTTTTCGCAGCACTTCCCAAATGAAAGCTTGCTTTCCTGCCATCTCTGCAGATAACTGTTACCATACGTTCAAACTGGACACAATTATTAGCTCTGTGTGTACCTCAGCTTCCTCCAGTGAGGCTTGGAGCTCAGATTTCTCCTGCTCAATCTGCTTCTTGACTTTCTCCAGCTCATGAATTGCTTTCCCTCCCTCAGCAATCTGCTCCGTGAGGTCAGAAATCTCCTCTGTGGGAACAAGGACCAATGGCATGGTCAGGCACAGAGCAGAATGGGAAGGGCCCTCACACACCAACGTGACAGGCACCTTTGCCCACGTGCAAGCACAGACCCATGTGAAGCGGTGGGTACTGGTGGGTGCTGAGAAAGCCCTGCCAGGAGCAGAGGGCCAGGCACTTACGCTGCAAGTTCTTGTTCTCGCGCTTCAGCGTTTCCAGGTGGTCCAAGGACTCCTCATAGGCATTCTTCATCTTAAACAGCTCCGTGCTGAGAGAGCGGGCCTCCTTCTGGGAGGCTTCCAGCTCAGCCTGTGTTTCCTCATACTTCTGCTTCCATTCTGCCAGGATCTGTGGAGAAAGGGGGTGTCAGTATGGATGTGACAATCAGGACAGGATGCTCCGTCCATGATTCCCCAGTCTGGAGCCTGTAAGACCTTGTCAAAGTTCTTCTGCTTCTTATCCAGAGCGGCACAGGCAGCATTTGATCTCTCCACATCAATCATCAGGTCCTCCACTTCATTCTGCAGCCTCTGCTTTGTCTTTTCTAGGGAGGCACATTTGGCATTGACAGCTTCAACATGTTCCTCTGCATCCTGCAGGCGCTGTGCCAGCTTCTTCCTGCAATGCGGTAAGTACAGCTGCAGGTTAGAGGTAAAGGGTTTGCCACAGCTCTGTCCCAGCACCTACTGATTATTAGGCCTGTCTTAACCATTCTAGCCATGAAAAAAACATTTCTTCTTCCAAACTTTTCCACAGGACACTTTTTCTTTCTCTCTCTCTTTCTCTCTCTGCCCTCTATCACAAAGACACTACATGCCAGCCTTTTTTTCGTCCCTTGTCCAAACCCAGTTTCAGAGACTTTCATCTCCCTGCAGAGTCCCAGTGTTCTCCAGTTCTCTCTATATCCCACTTGCCACGTACTTGGCCTCCTCCAGCTCCTCCGTGCGCTGAATAGCGTCCGTCTCGTATTTGGTTCTCCACTGGGCCACTTCGCTGTTGGCCTTGGACAGGGCACGCTGCAGCTCCCCCTTGGCTTCCTGCTCCTCCTCATACTGTTCGCGGAGCAAGTCACAGTCGTGTCGAGCAGACTGCAAGGCATGGGCCAGTGCGTTCTTGGCCTGTGGGGAATTGGGCTTTGTAACTGGAATGTCCCTTGACAGTGAAATTGAGAGTGAAATTAGAACACAATTCTAATAAGGCAATGCAAAGCTGCCAGCTGATGAAGCCTACAGTGATATGGTCAGGAGGATCAGCATGTGTCAGTGAGAGTTACTCTGGGGACAGAAAACTGCTGTTTCTGTAAATGTTTAGACCTAAGACAGGACGACTCCTGTCTTACAGACTATCGTCAGAACCTCACGAGAGCCTTGTGGATGACTTCCTCCAGCATCAAAATCATTATGCTTCAATCCCTCTCTAGCTTAGGGGTTGAGGTATATTCATTACTGGTGTTCCCTCTGGTATTCCATGTGTTTGGAGAAAGAATACTGAACCAGTCTTGGATCAGACAGCGTTCTCCAGTTGCTTCTGAGGGTGATGAAGTTTGTGGACACACGGGTACTTCCATACCTTAATTTCTTCCTCTAGATGCCTCTTGAGTTCCTCAATCTGTTGGGTAAATCCTTGTTTGCCCCTGGACAACTGAGAAATCAGGGAATCTTTTTCCTCCACTTGGCGTGAATATTCACCTTGGAAGGGTGAATTGAAAGAAGGTAACTGGAGTGTTCGCAACAGGACAGTTTCTGACTGTGAACCCATGTGACCAAGAGCGGCCTGAGAGCTAACACCAGTTGTCACATCTCACCCCTTGATGTCCTCCCATTGTACCTCAGGAATGAAGATGCCCCTTACCTGATTCTGTCTGCAGCCGAGCTCTTTGAGTATTGAGGTCATTGATCATGCGCTGGTTCTGCTCCTCCTTAGTTTTAAGCTCGCTCAGCTGGTCTTCCAGGGTGCGGCACATCTTCTCCAGATTTGCCTAGAGAGGAAACACAAAGAGGGACCGGTGCTGAACACCTGGACTCTTCCTGATTCTCACAGTAGGTAACATTTTTTCATGAGAATGTCATGGTAGTAGCAGCCTACACCTTGTCACTGTGAGCATGTTCTACTGCAATTGTGTACCTTGGCTTTGGAGACAGACTCCATGTTACTGGCCAGGTCATCAATCTCCATCTTCAGCTCGCTCTTCTCCTTCTCCAGCTTCTGCTTCACTCGCTGCAGGTTGTCGATCTGCTCCCCAAGCTCAGCGGTGCTGTCCGCGTGCTTCTTGCGCAGGGCAGCAGCCGTGGCTTCGTGCTGTAGCGTGGCCTCTTCGAGGTCACGACGCATCTTCTGGAACTCGGCCTCACGCTTCTTGTTCATCTCGATCTGAGCTGCTGTAGCCCCTCCTGCTTCTTCCAGGCGCTCGCTGATCTCCTCCAGCTCCCTCGAGAGGTCAGACCGATGCTTCTCTGCTTTTGCCCGAGAGGTTCGCTCTGCCTCAATTTCCTCCTCCAGTTCCTCAATACGAGCCTGGAGAACGTCAGGGACCATTCACACCCGTGTCCTCCTCTTACCTGACCTGAGGTTTTGTGAGAGGGGCAAGGAACAGAGACTTGCCTGCAGCTCCTTGATCTTCTTCTGTAATTGCATACCCAGGGCTTGTTCATCCTCAATTTTGCTCTGGATCTGGCTGATTTCAAAGTCTTTCCTTTGGGCAAAGAAAACTGTGTTGGAGCTGAAAGAAAAAAGACAAGCACAGAAGACCAGCACCCACATGCTCCACACCACACTTACTTCTTGAGTTTCTCATCCAGCTGCTGCTTATCGTTTTCCAAATCCATGATGCTGTCCTGGGCCAGCTTCAGGTCGCCTTCGAGTTTCCTCTTGGCTCTTTCAAGGTCCATGCGCAGTTTCTTCTCTTGCTCCAGGGACCCTTCAAGCTAAAGGAAAGACCATCAGTGTTCTGTTGGTAGTGTCTGATTGTTAACAGCTTTAATCTTCTCATATGCATCTTTACTTACATCGTCCACTTGCTGCTCCAGCTTGGTTTTAGCTTTGGTGAGTGTATTGACTTTGTCCTCTTCTGCCTGCAGGTCATCCAGTGTCTGCTGATGGGCCTCTTGGAGGGCTTTCTTCTCTTTTGTCAGCTTGGCAATAGTCTCATCCAGGGCTGCCATCTCCTCTGTGAGGTTTTTCACCTACAAATATAAGCATGCAGTGAAATGTTCACTTTGCAGTACTTAGACAGGGGTCGCATTATTCCTTTTGCTACTCAAGTGAGGGCCAGCTAAGATCTTCCAAAGCTAACATGTCCTCGGTAGCAGGCTCTTTTGTTTCAAGAAGCAATGATTTTTTGATTCCTTATGTGATTCCCTGTGTGTGTACCTTGTTTTCAGTGGCATGCTTTTCCTTCTCCACTTTGGCCAACGTTAACTCAAGGTCATCAATATCTTTCTTCAGCTCTGAACATTCATCCTCCAGTTTCCTCTTCTTGGCTGTCAGCTCCGCATTCAGTTCCTCCTCATCCTCTGCCCTTTCAGTCACCTCCTTAATTTTGGCTTCCAGCTGGATTTTGGTTTTGATGAGCTGGTCACATCTCTCCTCAGCATCAGCCAAACTGTCTGCTTCCTGGTGGGGAGACACAGGTTTTTGTGGATTGTAATGTTTCACCCCTTTGTCTTTTCTATTGCTAAGTAGGCATGTGTTAAAATGGGGGCTGAACCTGGCCTCCAACTTCAGCAAGTGGAAGATCTTTCCAGGAGGCCACTGGGAAACCTTGTCATCTGGTAACAACATTGATTCCAAATCTTTTGTGTCTCTGATAAATGCCTCAGATAAAGTGGAGCTGACAAAGTAATCTAGAATCTTTTAACATTTGGTGAGTACAGGTTTTGTGAGAATGCAGAAAGTGGTGTTTTGTTTACTGCCAAGGACCTCTCATTTTCTGAGTCTGCATGACAGTATTGATGTTTCTGAAACCAATCAAGGCTTTCTGGTGTAGCTCTAAGTAGGAAAAGTGGGTTCTTCTCAGGCTTGTTTTGACACTATTAGGCAGATACACTGTCTTGAACATCGAGTAGATGGAGAAGATACTTCCCTTCCAAATGAGAGATTTCTGCTCTGGATTACATGCTGGAAAGTCTTATATGACCTTGTCTTCAGACAGGCTGCCATGAGTCGCAACATGCCCCTGCCAGTGCCAGTTTACTCCACATTAGAGTGCCTTATAGTGTGTGATTTAGACTGTTTCCTACTGCACATTAGTCATCTCTCTGCAAACCTCTGCTTAGGGTCAGCAGCATTCTCAGTGTGTGTCATTCTTTTCTTCAGGACAAGTGAATAGCGATACTCACCGCCTGTACTTGGAGCTGCAGGTCATTTTTCTCCTGCAGCAGGGCCACCATTTTTTCTTCCAGCTCCTTCCTCTTTGCCTCAGACTTTGCAAGTTCTTCCTTGGTTTTCTCAAACTCTTGTTTCATGTTGGCCATCTCTTTCTCAGATTCTGCACTCTTCAGCAAGGGCTTGATCTTAAAGAATAGCTTCATCCATGGCCAGTGCTTCACATTCATGAATGCACGAACGTTGTACTGGATACAGAAGATTGAGTCCCTGAAAAAAGATTCACACACCTATTACATACTCTGCGGATTGTGAATTTAGTCTCAATTGGCCATGTACTATGAAAACATGACAAGTGACTGAGAAATGTCTACCTCCTCTCCACCATTTTCCGGTACTCCACCCTCATGAGGAAGCCCCTGCACCTGGCCTGTGTCATGGTCATAATTTCTGCTAGTTTCTCATCTCTCATTTCCTCAAGCAGACCTATCAGCCCAGCTTTGAAGAACACCTAAAGAAAGGGAATATTGTAGTATGTTCGCCTCAGGTGGTGTATAATACAGGCACAGTGTATTTGAATGCAGGACTTGTTCCTACCTTGGTGTGACCAAATCTGTACTGGGTGTGGTCCACATCAATGGAACCAAGAAGCTTCTCTGAAGCCTTCTTGCTGTCCATGAACTGACCATCTGGAATAGCACTTGCATTAAGCACTCTGTATCTGTAGGGGAAAGCAGAACATGATTACATCAACAGTGTTAAAACCACCACTGCGTCTGAACCCCCCAGTCTTCTCAGCAATGCCTGTCTCGGTAAAGTCGTATCTCACGGTTCATTCTTTCAAGACAGTGTAATTGAACTTTTCATAATGTTAACTTGGTTAAGTCAGGAGAATGCTCACCTTCAAGATAAAATCATAAACTCACAATAAAACATCTTTTCTACATATGTCCTTTCAAAGTGTAATATACTTTGAATATATAAAGAATATACTTTCAAGTATATCATGATACTCAGGCTCTTCACCTTGGTCTGAATGGGCAGAAAGGTGGAGCACTCTTACCTTTGTTTGAAGTCAGCATACAGGACTCTGCTGGGAAATCCTTTCCTGCAAATCCTGATGCCTTCCAGCACACCGTTACAGCGCAGCTGATGCAGCACCAGCTCATGTTCCATGGCACCTAATAAAGACCACAGTTAGTGACTACCATGCTGCTTGACACTCAGGAGGAGTATTTCTGTGGCTTGTGTTTTCTTTCTATTGAATCCCCTTACCAGGTGTTTTTGTTTCATTTGGGATGATGCATCGTACAAAATGGGGGTGAGTGCTCCGTAGATTTGTCATCAGCTTGTTTAAATTCTCCTGTGAGATTATAATGTAAAGTTTAGATCAACAAGTGGGAGACCTGCTTCCCTGCAGCTGCATGTGTTTAATCCCAGAAAGGGGTTAATAACTTGTCAGATTTAAATGTGATAGCAAAATTTCCATAGTACTGTACAGAATCTTATGCAGTCATCCATGGAAATGTAATGGTTTCTGCGCCATAGTAATTTATAAATTACAAAAACTGGGACAGAATTGTTTTGATACCCTGAGACTCATGGCTTTGAAAGTCATGAGAAATTTCATATGGTTCTCTCCTCAATCTGTAAAATTAGACTTTTCTAGGTGATTATCTTAAAGAAAAACTGGTTTTTTTAAAACTGCTACATTACTTATGAATCATGCTTGGCAGTAGGCTTGAAAGCATGCAGAAGTCCACAGTCACTATTTGGTTAAACATTCTGAACACTGTGCTACAGCTGAAAGAAACTAACCTATTTCAATGTTACACTTACCTTAAAAAATAGAGATGCATGAAAAAAGATGTGAATGACAAGATCCTTAAACATTTAAAAGAGTTTTTGTTTATCTGTATTATTGAAAGAACATAATTCCCATGTAGACAAAAATAAGAACCTACTCCATCGTTAAAATAAAAAATTACCTATAGTACATGATCTTCATCCTCTTGCAATAGGACTTATAATACCACTATGCACATTTCAATTCCGCTTTATTCAAGTCAAAAGACAAAAATGGATGAAATCAGTACATACCCGGAAAAGAGCTGAGACAGTCTGGAAAGAAGAGCCCTTCTTCTTGCCACCCTTCTTGCCACCACCACCAGCATCTGCAAAAGGAAGAACAACAAAAAATAATAATAAAAAATGGATTGTGCATACTGGAAACTACAGAATGCAAAACAGCATTGAATGTTCAGTGTTCACTGCCTTAATTCCATGTCAGCATTGTCTCATAATGAATGTACAATTTTCACAAAGCTGACCTGCATCTGCTCCACCATAGCTGGCAAAGAGTAAGGCCAGTGTCTTCACAGATGATTTCTGGTACAACCCGATGACAGTTTCATTCAGAGGGTCTTTGTTCTTCTCAAGCCAGCCACTGATGTTGTAGTCCACCGTGCCAGCATAGTGTACCAGTGAGAAATGGGCCTCAGCCTTGCCTTTGGCAGGCTTTGGCTTCTGGAAGTTGTTGGACTTGCCCAGGTGCTGGTCATAGAGCTTGTTCTTGAAAGAGGTGTCAGTTGCCTTGGGGAACATGCACTCCTCTTCCAGGATGGAGAAGATGCCCATGGGCTGGAAAGTACCACAAGCAGTGACAGAGAGAAATTGTAATGATGTGAAGCATGTTCTATGAATATCAAAGGTGTGAGCATGTAGCTGGTAGCATCTCAGCCTGGATAAGGGCCTATGATTGTTAGGAGTTGTTCTCATCCAGGAAGCTTATTTCTGCCTTCCCTTGCCTTCCTGCAGCCTGTTTTCATGGAACTGGTAAGAACATCAGTTCAGGTTAGAACTGGGAGTAGAAATGGAGGGAGAAGTGGTATACAGGAAAACTATTGGGACAATAGCCACAAGAGGTGCTGAATTTGGTTGTGGAGGAGTCCCAGTTTGAGTCTTCAGAGGAGAAAGGAAAGGGGAGCAATTCCAGTTTGTTTTAAGAAAGTCTGTTGGTGGGAATCCAGGCTACACTTTCCATGCCTGAAAACCAGGCAATGCAGGATTGATGGCACAGGTTTGCGTTTCCCAATTTCTATTCCCCAGATGAAAATACATTTCAGTGCAAACTGTTTTGTTTACATGACACTGAATGTCTGGCTGTGAGGTCTTTCTGAGCTGAAACCACAGAATTCCAATATACATTGCACACTTGTATGGAAAAGGTACCTTCTCAATGAGCTCAATGCAAGCAGCCAGGTCCATCCCAAAGTCAATGAACTCCCATTCAATTCCTTCCTTCTTGTACTCCTCTTGCTCCAGCACAAACATGTGGTGGTTGAAGAACTGTTGCAGTTTCTCATTGGTGAAGTTGATGCACAGCTGCTCAAAGCTGTTGAACTGCCCAAAGCAAGGAGAGGAACACAGGTTCTCAACATGTGGCAAACACCAAAAATGTTTGCTAGCATAATCCTAGTGCTGTTTGAAGTTCCCCACATGAAACACCACTCCTAACTGTTACAGCATGTGTTTCCTTCTGTAACCTTAGGTGCATCTTCGTGTAGGTGTCTCAGCTCTCTGACCACCCAGCCAAGCATTTCTCTGCCCTTAGATCAACAACCTGGAGGTTTCTCTGCTGCGGCACAGACGTCCTAGCACCATCACTGCTTTCACAGCAGAGGAAACATGCTGTGAACTTTCCCAAAGCACTACTCTTTCCATAGCTTTTCCACACTTTTGGCCCACATCTGTGTGAGCCTGAGTCCTAGAGCTGTCTCTTTTTTTGCAGAGACAAAAACCTTTGCAAGCTCAAGGGCCTCTGAGATCATTTGTCAGAAAGCAGAGCTTTCTTCTATCTGATGGTAACGTTAGAATCCAAGTGCTGGGTAAATCCAGTTGAGGGTACTACTGTGACAGTGAAGTGGGAAGGGTTTCTAGAAAACTGCAGATGAGAATAAGCTTCTGATTCCTTTTAAAAAAGAAGTGTGTTTCTGAGTCCTCATGACTCCTCCCTTGACTATGGTGCCAAATCCTTGTTTCTTACATCAAAGATTTCAAAGCCAGCAATGTCCAGGACACCAATGAAGTACTGTCTGGGCTGCTTGGTATCCAGCTGTTGGTTGATGCGAACAACCATCCACAAGAACATCTTCTCATAGACAGCTTTTGCCAGGGCACCAACTGCATTGTTCACCTACAGCAGAAAAGAAAGGACAGGAGTTACCCCCCAGGACCAATTAAGAATCCTTAAATAATTTGAAGCCATTTTCAAACTATCCTCTATTTACCTGCTCAACAGTTTGACCTTTGGTCACGTATTCGTTCCCGACCTTGACTCTGGGGTAACACAGGGCTTTGAGCAGATCAGCTGAGTTAAGGCCCATAAGGTAGGCAGCCTTGTCAGCCACTACAGAGGGTGAGAGAGAGATAAGCATTTATCTTTGGAAAACAGCCAGAATTTCACAGTGAGAAAAACTCTGCTGTTCATGTTCTAGTAATGGAAAAGTAATGGTCTGTTTCATATTCCCCATGATCAGGGAAGCACTTCAGCATTATGTCCACAATGAACAAAATTGATTTTCCTCAGTGTTTTATATGCTGACTCTGGCCAAGAAAGTCTTGTCTTTGGAGGCCAACATGCCATTTCTGCAGACAGAGAATTTCTTTGAACAAATCAGTTGCTGAATCTACTGTTACCTTCAGTGCCATCAGGCTCTGCCTGCTCCTCTCGTTGTTTCTGCTTAAACTTCAGGTTGCCATAGTGCATGACAGCTCCTGTCAGTTTGTAGATGGCTGTCTTCTCATCAGCACTGAAGCCCAGGATGTCAATGGCACTCTGCAGTTGAAACAATGCAGTAAAAACATTACATAACCTCTTTAACAAACTCAATAAAACTGTTTTCTTCGTAATACTTACATCTGTAGCCATAAGCTCCTCCTGGTCATCAATACTGGGAACAGTGACCTCACCTTGACTCACGAAGTGGAAATCATAAGGGTTGGTGGTAATGAGGAGCATGTCTGAAAACAGGAAGAAGCAAGACACAGGTTTAGTTTTGCCAACCAGGTAATAGAGGGAACTGTTTCTCAGCAATCATCCTTACAAAGTCATAGTGATCCTTCCTACCAATGAGCTCTGGCTTCTTGTTGGACATGATCTGATAGAATATGTGGTAGCTTCTTTCTGCCTGGAGCTGGAAAGTGACTCTGGACTTCTCCAGCAGATCTGCAAGGAAGGGAGAAAGATTCAGTCACAGGAAGGCATGCAGAGGTGGGAACTTAGGAAGGAAAGGGATAAGGCCAGGGGAGTGTCTTACAAGTTTCAATGTCAGCAGAAGCCAGTTTGCCTGTGGCCCCAAAGTGGATTCTGATGAACTTGCCCTGTAAGGACAAGCAGCAGTGTTTCAGTGTGGATGGGTTTTTTTCATGTCTCCTTTATGGAGAATATTGGTAGGGCCATCATGTGTAATAAGAGGGAGAGATTTTGTCCAAAGCAACAACTTACAAAGCGTGAGGAGTTGTCATTCCTCACGGTCTTGGCATTTCCAAAGGCCTCCAGCAGTGGGTTGGCGCTGATGATTTGATCCTCAAGCGTTCCCTGCAGGATGATAATTGTTTCTGGTTAGCCTTCCAAAAATCATGTCAGGAACAAAGGAAAGTGTTGATTCATACTGCTATTTATTAAGTAATAATTTCATTCTCAAGCAATCCCTATAGGATGACAATTATTCAGTTACAGTGTTTAGTTGGCATCACAGTCACATGCCAAGCATTGGGTCTCTTCTTCCTGACTCACCTGCATTTTGCCTGGCTGATCTTCTTTCTTCTTCTCCCCGCTCGCTGCAATTGTTGCAAAGTACTGGATGACACGCTTCGTGTTCACAGTCTTCCCTGCTCCGGATTCTCCGCTGTGCAGGCAAAGAGAGAAGCAGAGAGTGTGTGGTCAGGCAGGAGGTCACCTGGCACCGGGCAGCCCCACAGGGACCAGAGTCTGCAGTGTACATACGTGATCAGGATCGACTGGTTCTCACGATCTGTGAAAAAGGCAGAAACAAATATATTATTAATACGTATTATGAATATCCTGGGTAAAATATTCCTAGGTCTTTTTAAACAGGCACTAGTTCCTAATTCCTTTCATAAACCTGTGTGTCTTCACCCCTAATTCCTTTTGCACATTTTAAAGTTCCCAGCTGTGGCTGGTAAGCAGACATGTCAACACAGATGTGGGTGTTAGATGTAGTATACATACTTCCTTTCTGGATATTCTTTTCATGTCGAGCTGTTAATCTTTTTTATGGAAAGGATTCCAACTAAGGTGTTACTGATTAATTGTACAGTCTGTAAGCTAAAGTGAACTCTAGCAGGTGCTTCTCATAAGTGTCATAACAACAACCACTCCTGATCACTTCATAGGCCCCCCAGAGTGTTTCTCTGTCCATGGCAAATGGATTGCTGCCTATAGAAAAATCGCAAAAGCATTAGAAGTATTTTACCAGAATGCTCTCCAATACTCTACAACATTGAAATTTTGTTTTTTTTTCCAGAGTTAGATTTGATGCTTCTATGTGTAATAACTTGGGCACAGTTTGCTTTCCAGAATTTTGTCTGACTGCTTTTTTAACCCATACTTAGTTCTTTTTGTGTTGACTTTTATCATCCAATCTGCTCTATTTTTGAACCCTTACCGTGTGAAGAAAAGAAATGTGTTTGGTTTTGAACTTGGTTTTTCATGTACTCTATTCATCTTTTCCATGGTAGGCATCATTTTATAAAGTAGCATGAATCATTTGACTAGAGCTACCGAGCAGATATCATTATGAAACACTTTCATCTCTGTCTTTACCTGTTCCATTTCTACTATATTCTTTTTTGAAAAAGGAAATGCATACAATACACAAGGTGCAAATATTCATTGGGTAATCACACTGATATAATGACTTCTTCTGGTTTGGTCTCTATTTCTTGCTTTCAACTTGTTATTTTGTAGATTTCTTATCACTGAGCCAAATTTTTTGAAGCTGAATTCAGAAATGCCAATAATAGAACTAGTAGTTTTTAGCAATGAGCTCATCTTTGGGGTTTGTTTTTTATGTTTATGTCCACTGGCTTGCGATCTTTTCTCCCAAACTTTGTCACACATCACTGGATAATTCAATCATTTAATATCATCAAGTCCTTTTGAGATCCTTTGGTGTTAGACTTATCTCTATTGGCCTGAAGGACTTAGTCAAATCAGAAAGCTTGTCAGCATTTCCAGATAATTTAAAAAAAAAAAAAATTAAACAGCAGAAGTCACAGAATAGATCCCAGTGAGACTTCATTGATAAAATCTTCCATGATAACTGAAAAAAGAAAATGTATTTCTACCATGTCTTCCTTTTTCTTAATCAGCTCTTTTTGAACCTTTTCAATTAGCAGTGAACGTAAGCATGATAAATTATGCTAAGAACAGCTGCTCTATCATCCATACTGAAGATCTTTGTTGAATTCACACAGATTACCTTGACCAGCTCTCCTTTATTTAAAAAATAAGTAAATAAAAATAGTAGCTTCCTAAGGCAAAACTTCACTTTAACAAGTCCAGAGAAGGGCCACGAGGTTGATTAGGGGACAGGAGCACGTCCCATATGAAGACAGGCTGAAGAAGTTGGGGCTGTTCAGCCTGGAGAAGAGAAGGCTGTATGGAGACCTCATAGCAGCCTTCCAGTATCTGAAGGGGGCCTATAGGGATGCTGGGGAGGGACTCTTCATTAGGGACTGTGGTGATAGCACAAGGAGTAACGGATTAAAACTGAAACAGGGGAAGTTAAGGTTGGATATAAGAAGGAAATTGTTTCCTGTTAGGGTGGTGAGGCACTGGAATAGGTTGCCCAGGGAGGTTGTGAATGCTCCACCCCTGGCAGTGTTCAAGACCAGGTTGGACGAGGCCTTGGGTGATATGATTTAGCGTAAGGTGTCCCTGCCCACAGCAGGGGGTTGGAACTGGATGATCTTAAGGTCCTTCCCAACCCTAACGATTCTATTATTCTATAAAAATGGATCTTTTTCTATTGGTAAGTCTCATACATCCACATGCCTAGTAACTGCCTTATTTAGAAATTGCTGACATCAAGCTTACTGTGAGCTCCTTACACCACCTCACAACTCTTTTTAAAAGTAAATGGAACATTCGCCATTTTCCAGGCAATTTTCAGTGAGAAGTTTTGATCTGTAGAGTTCCACTGCAATGCCTGGTCGAATTCTGCCTTGTCAATGTGCTAGCGGATTTTTTATTGTTGGGTATTTTAAGGACACTTTAATCTGAAGAAGTTCCTCTGATGAATCTCACTATAAGGAGGAATTTCAGAAATGGATACTTCTAAAAAAAAAATCTCATTTAGTTGTTCTGATATGACCTTACATTTTTCAAGTTTTCTTTTAAAATTTTGACTGTGTCAATACAGATGCTACAGACTTCTTTTAACCTTTCTGCTTCTTATATGTTTAAGAAAGAAAGAAGTATAAGTTTTCATGTGTGCTGCAAGTTATTCTTTTACCTTTAATTCTGCATGCCTTCTTGTGTTCTCACGGCTAACCAGCCAGAGTTATATTTTGAAGAAAGTTTATGTGTGTTTAATAACCTGCTGTAATAGCTGTGTAACTGGGCTGTCTTTCAAAGAAAATGCTTTTTGCCAGGTAATTTATGTTTCTTTTATGCCTCTAGGATGATGTTCTCCAATAATCTGCATGCAGTCAGAAGAGACTAAGGCAATAGGCAACAGGCAACTAATTCCTTGTGGAAAAGTCTGGGTTTGTATTCATCAAGTTCTTGCACATCTCTTGAAGATCCAGCAAGTGTACGTGCTTGATGACTTACAAAAATACTGCCATCATGAGACACTAACCAACCATCAACTTATTGTGTTCCATTTTCATGGTATCCTCTTCCAATTAACCTTCTTACCAGTTTGAATGCTAAAGACTTCAGTGCATAGTAAATGGGGATGAAGGAGGGAGCAAGATTTATTTTAACAAATTTAAATATACAGCTCTTCATTTAGCATTTTTCTGACTTATCTGATCTTTCTTGAAAGTCTGGAGATTCAGACAGTGCTAGAAAAGTTTTTACTACACTTCTTTCTTGTGGCTTCCCTTAATAGTAATGAATGGAAAAGAAGAACTTGTTTCTGAGACGGAAGGAGGAAGTACAAATTTTCCAAGCAGGTTTCACTGTAATGTCTGACTAAGTCTGCTTCCTGGGTTTTCATAAAGCCACCATATTTAGCACTGGCTTCAGTGTTGAGTCTTCTTTCCCTTCAGACCTAATCTTATTTACAAAACTCCACCCTAGTGCCTTTCAGTCCTGCAAAGCAAATCATTCAAAAAACAACCCTCTCAACAAAGAAAGAAACAGAACATCAAAAGTTCATCCAAATTCCTTTGAAGGAAAATCTGACATGTATTCAGTGTCAAAAACATATCCTCAGATGTATCTTGGTCAGTAAATTCTAACGTCAATTGTTAGAAACATGATCTCACTGATGGTCTCCAGTAAAGAAAGTATTTCCAATGATAAAGAGGACATTCACCCTCTTAACACCATTAAACTAAAATAATTTGCAATGAAAATATTTTTTTTGCTTCTGTGAGTCTTCAGAGACAAATAATTTTAAAGAAAACAAAGCACTCACCAGTCAGCATGAACTGATAGGCGTTGTCAGAGATGGAGAAGATGTGTGGAGGGGCCTCCTGGCGCTTCTTGCCTCGGTAGGCCAACACCACCTCCGGGTTGTACACCGGCAGCCACTTGTAGGGGTTGACGGTGACACAGAAGAGACCCGAGTAGGTCTGTGGGGAAGGGAGACAGCACGTTGGCTTCCACTTAGGCTGGCAGAGCAGTTCCTCCCAGCTACCCAGAGGAAGACTGCTGCTGGTACTTACGTAGATCATCCAGGCTGCGTAACGCTCTTTGAGGTTGTACAGCACAGCGGGTTCATGGAGGTGGGTCATCATGGCCATGTCCTCAATTTTATCATACTTCGGAGGGTTCATGGGAAAGATTTGGTCTTCCTTCACAGTCAGGGTCTGTCAGATGGAGAAAGAGATGCATGTATGTCAGCTAAGAACTGAGAGTGGGAATTACATGCAGTTTTTAATCTTAGATCTTTCCTCACCTCTCCACCTTCGGACTTGACAGTGACCTTTCCTGATTCTTTGCTCTGGACTGTCCCTTTCACAAAGGATTCCTTAGGATGCACCACAAAGACTGATGTTTTGGCATCAAAAGGCCTGTTCTGGGCCTCAATTCTTTCCTTTTCTGATTTTCGGAGGTAAGGAGCCGCCTCCCCAAAGGCGGCCATCTCAGCATCCGGAGATGTCATGGCTGCACCTTATTGAGGATACGTCAGAAGAGAACCCTGTGGGACAAAAGAAATGCAACATCAATAGATCATTAATGTGCCTTGCTTGTGAAGAGACCTTTTAAATATCTTAAAATTAAGCATGTATTAGAACTGCTAAAACCAGCAAGACTAGCCTTCCTCCTATTTAATGATTTAAACCCAGGAGAGAAAAATCTTGTTTCTGTGCTTGAATACAGACTAACCTTTCAAGAGTTGCTGTTATTTGTATCTTGTGACACTGTACACATTGTACTTTGGCTTTACACAGTGTAAAGTGCCACATTTGAGAATATGAGTTATGTGAAAGGAACCCTCTTATTCTTATGCAAAATTAAAAAAAAAAAAAGTACAGATAAAAAATATAGAGATGCCTTAAAAGAAAATGGAAAAACTTAGTCAGAAACCAGTTTCTGAGGAAAAAATACGCTTCACAATATGCAATAAAGGTGGATACCTAATTTCAAAAAATCTCTAGACCCACCACACTTACCGTGACACTCTTCTTGGAGACAGTGCAGAGAGTTGCAAAGACTCTTTTATAGAGTCTGTTTGGCAGATGCTTTGGATTCCTCCTCTTTCTTCGGTCAAAATATTTTTTGGCAAACATACTTTGGCAAAGCATTGTCTGGCAAACTTAACCAAGGGCATAATTGTCATTTGATTTGACCAGATATATTTAGAAATATTTTGTATCTTACCTATGATGCGAATGTATTGACTATAAATAATTCAACAAGAGACTTAAGGAGAGAATCTGAATTAGTCAAGGCACTTAGAGAACTTGGATGTATGACTTACGGATTCTACTGCTGCATTTCCAGTGATTTCCTTCTGGACGTCAGGCAGGTTTTTATTGCATGTCTGTGCTGCAGCTCTCTCAGTTGCACTGTGCAGATAACATTAATGTTTTCTACATAGTGAGACTAATGAGGAAATGAATTAAGGACAGTAGACAAACTGTGTGGAGAAAAAAAAAGTTAAAATGTATTTGTATAATAAATTTAACCCTTGTGGTCATCTAATATTTGTAACGAGAGAAACAAAATGTATTACAGTCCAAATTTCTGCATAAAACATTTTTTGGAAGAGAAATGCAGGTCATGACAAAGAAACAAACATATTCTTTTTCTAAACATTTCTATTAAAGATAGATTAAATGCAATAATGCATTAGATACACAGCTGAGTAAGAAGAAATGTGTAATATTTGGTGCCTAGCACTAAAGTAACAAAGTTTATACGGTACTTCCACATTTAGTACAGTTTTTTATGAACATGATAGAGTGAAAAGTGCAAAGTAACGTGCTAAACAGCTTAAGCCTCACCTATGTGCCCACTGTTAACATATATTAAGCAATGTTGTCAACCAACTCAGGAAGCAGGAGGTCCTCTAGCCCTTCACTACCTACAACTCCCCCACAAAATACCCATCTACCTAGACACAACTCTATATACAATCACACACCCAGCGTACACTCCAAGATCTTCTGCACTCCGACACTCTCAGTCCAGCACTCCCATCCCATCACAATGTCTTATACCCATAATCACACAGATACAGCAATAAAAGCTATCAACACAGTGCTGCCTATATCAAGGCATTAGAGGCAGTCCTGTAACAATGCTGATACACTGAAAAAGAGGGAATTTGCCAGTATTCTTTGGAGGGTGACTGATCTAGTTGTAGGAAAAAGGCACTGGCACTTGAGCTGCTTTAAGCACTGTCAGTTCAAAACACACCTTTCTCCTGGTCATTGGCATTTTGGTTACTAAAAGAGCACAGTGGATAAGGCTTGGGGAAGAGCAGAGTGGCAAGGTCAGAAAAATGATGCCTGTGATTCAAGGTAGTATTCAGCATCAAGCACTGGCCTGTGCATGAAGAGCTTGTTCTAAAGAGGGCTGTGACACTGCAGCACCCACTTTTCTGGAGCTCAAACTCAACAGCTCATCCATAATATCCTTTTGCAGTAAGCTGATGGAAGCACCCTGTGCCCTGCCCAGGTGGAGCCCAGAAACAACCAGTGGGAAACAATGAGCACAGAGGTACACCTGAAATCTCTGAGCAATCACTGACTCCCATGGGCATGCAGAAGTTAGAGGATAGAGTCATAGAATTATTCAGGTTGGAAGGAGCCTTAAAAAGGACTTTCAAAATGGGGCTCTCCATCATCTGTGCTAGGAATCTGTCCTCGGTGTACTCTGGTACTTTCCTGGACTCTGTGCAGCTTTCTATGCTCCTTTTCCAGTATATGTTTGGGTGATTAAAGTTTCCTGTCAGGATCAGGGCCTGTGATAGCAATCAGGTCATAGTTTTCCATCTGGCCAGCAGATATCAGGTCTTCCTGTTTATTTCCTATGTTGCATGCACTGGAATAGAGGCACTTTAGCTGGGCTATTGGCCATGTCCACTTTGTAGAGGAGTTTGCCCTAATTCCCTTACATAAATTCACATCCATTTCCCTGTTATTTCCTAAAGCGTCAGCAGCCCCTGGCTCTTCTCAGGTGCTTAGAACTCCATTCCTTTCCTCCACTAAATTGAGTTTAGTGTGCTATTAATGAAGATATTAAATTATATTGATTTCAGTACAAACCCCAAAGGGACACCACTGCAAGGGCTGTCTTTGCTATGATGGAACAAAACTTGAAAGGTGATTGCTATTAATCAAGAGTCATGCGGAATGTTGAAAGAAGGAAAAATTCTCTTAACTGCTACACACACAGGTTCAGCCTTCACACTGAGAATACTTCTGTTAGTAAGTTCAGCTAAAAAAAACACCAGACCTCTCCATCTAACAGTGATATCACCACCATTGTGTGACTTCTGCAAGCGGCACCAGCTGTGTCTTTTCATCCTTCTGTCAGTTGTCTCGTAGTGCAAAAAAGCTCAGTAGGCTGGGCCCAGTGTTGGTGGTGACAGGGTTGAGTATTACACTGTTCCAGGCTCAGCTTTAAACATTCAACTGTAATACAAAGTAAAAAGAAACAAAGTAAAAAGAACACTGGACAATTCCCATTCTGTGTTGTGTTAGCCATTCAGCGTTCCCACCATTCATAACCATAAGCTGCAGCATGTCCTGTTGGAAATTAATGATAATTCTTGGAGCAGCTTGTAACCTGTCTAGTTAGAAGAACACTGCAGTGCCCAGTGTCCCCATGTCATTATCAGAAAAACACCTTCAGGCCTCCTGCTTTGGTACTCCACTCCTTCCACCCTGGACCGAGGTGACCAGGTCCTCCTGGCAGTTGCAATATCAGGAAAAGAAGCATGATTTCAAGCCTCTAGCCTCATTTTCCAGCTCATTGTTCCTTTCTGCTCAGAGAAAAGCAACTAGAGCAAAACCAGCTGAACCATGTGGGAATCAAACAGCAAAGTTCAAGAAGGCATCTTCCTGGGGCTCGGTATGTGTGGTGTAAATTGTAACCTTGGAAGCAGTGAATTCCAGTACAGAAAGGTGGCTGAGCTGGTGAGCTCCCATCTGAGTTCAGTGCTGAACCCAAGGCTTTCAGGGGTAAAACAAAAGCATTTTGCACATGATCAGAGACAAATCATGTTGGAAAACATACACTGTAAGAAGTGCAGCTTTCAAATCGTGTTGTCACTTATGTTGTAGTTATTTGTTAAGCATGCTGAGAGAAATGTCACCAGACCCAACAGGCAGTCTGACAAGGAATGCCCAGCCTCCACTCCAGCAGTGTTTCTTCAGACAGCAGCCCTCTGTGTAAAAGAACTCCTCCCAGGAATGCTAGCCCTGGCTGAACAGAAATGCCAGCACCCTGATCCTTTGGAGGGAAACTCCTCTTCCCTGACCCTCTGCTAAGACACAGCTGAGTGCTGGAGCCTACAAATGGTACACACACACTTTCTCATTAAAAAGCCAGTCTTTTCTGCTGATGGGCATTGACTCGTGGAATTAAACACAAGGAGTGCTTTCTCCACACCTAGCATACTATGCCTGCTCCACTTAGGTGTTTGTGGATTTTCTGGTTGAGGTGCATCCCATCTCAGGATAGCCATGAAGAGACCAGGATGGCCTTTAGCCATCTCCTCCTCCTGCTTCTCTGCTCAGGGACCAACTTCTGCAGATCTTTCCTGACCTCACAGCAGGGAAAAGGGGAAGAACCTATGTGTATTTGTGGTTTTGAATACCTTGCTTTGAGGTAGTTTCATTTGATGTACACACACAGTCCGTTCTCCACCTTGTGCTCTCTGTGCCCCCATTTCTTTTAATGGGAAATCTTCATTTCCAAGTTTTTGGCAATGCTTTTCAGTTACATGCAGTCTGTAGCGTCCAGAAATCAAACAAAACCATGGTCATTATAATCAGACTTTATAAGTAAAATCTTCAGGCTATTCACTCTCTGTAAGAAGTTTTATAGACATCTAACTGAAACATCATCTGCTCGTTCTTCATCATATGCTATGGTTATTTTCAGACTTCAAAATGGCCATCCTGCACTGTGGCCCTGTTAGGCAAAAACTTACTACTTGACAAGGTCATTTGATTTCTATTGGAGGAAAATAGAGGCCTAGGATCCAGACTAGGACATTAACCACGGAATATTTTGAATAAATAGCAAGACAAAAGCATACAGTACTGTTTTGTTCTACACAGAGGGATGATCTGCTTCCATTTTGACCAGAGATCCTGTAATTAAATTTTACCCATCCATATCACTTTGAATCAACCTTTCTCTAAGGGTGGATAGTCCAGGAATTCTCCACATATCAACCAATGCTTCATTCTCTTGTTCAAAGTGGGTAAACCACAGGGTTCAGTCACTGGCTCTTGTCAAGCTACTGGCCATCTGTTCAGAAAGTGAAGTGATTTCCAGGTGGTGTGTGAATAGATCAAGATGAGATGTATGAGATGCATCCTTGAGAAATCCATACTTCATAGCACAAAATACACCTTCTCAAACTTTCTATACAAGCCCTTTGTGTTCCAAGCATTTTCAGATCTAAATCCCGTAAAGCAAAAACTCTCAAGATTTAAA